ATCTTGGGGTCTCAGAGTATGTTAAACAAAAAGGTCACAGTGACCAAAATTTGGAATTTCATGACTATATCTGAAGGTTTAAGATAATAAGCTTAGAATCATCAAACTTTCTCAGTCGATGCATCTTGGGTTCTCATTGTGTAAACACAATGTAGGTCACAATGACCTACTTTTGGAATTTCAAAAAATTTTCTAAATATATAGGATACTAAGAGGCTTAAAAGTGATAGGTTGTACAATTTATCAGAAGAGCGATTCTAGGCCCTTGGGCCTCTTGTTAACTTTTGGCTTGATGTCTGTGGTTGAGCACTTGGATTAAATTGCCAGAATGACGGAGATGAGATTTTACTGCATATATGAATTGATGGCCTCAGGACTATAACAAAAAAAAAAATAAGACAACATATAAACAATTGTTTAAGGAGGAATTTACTAGTTTCTTCATGGTCTTATCTGGAATAAGGGAGTTACCCTCTACAATCCATGTCTTTATATATGTATATGATTTTAAAATATGATGCAAAAAAAATGGTGCCAGACAAGTAATTTTTAAGACCTAATTATTTTATTGTACATATCTGTCAACCTGAAATATTTACAAATAATGATTTTAAGTGTATGCAAGACAAGAACATATTACAAACACTAGATCTAATATTAAACCCTGTAGCAAAATCAAGAGTTCCATGAGCCACAACAATTGCATGTAAATAATATGGAAATCAAATGCAATTTTTTTTTAAAAGAATTTAGATATAAATTACACAAATTACGAACTGGATTTTTTTAAAGGTGTTTATATACATCCCACTGTTGCCACATTCTGGCTCGGGCAATCATGGTCCTGATTCCCAATCATATGAACCTGAAATACTCCATAAAAAAGCATGCAAACTAGAGCAATATCTGTCCTTATTTCACTAACGTACCCCCCAGAAAAGCAATGAGAGAAAGGCCATATGTGAAAAAAGCTTTTATAAAAGTATTAGCCTCTAAAATACAGAGCCTAAGCAAGGTTTAAAATTTCTGGGTCATGTGACCTTGTCCCAATGTTCAATACTTAGAAACAAGGTCACAAGCAATCTTTTTGAGAGTATTAATTTTTCCAAACCCTCTGACCTTCACCTCTTCTAAATGACCTTGGTTCAAGGCAGACGCATTTAACCTAAGAGTAATAGTACAGAGAAGAACTGTGTACTTCTGAATTTAATGACCTTGTTTCTGGGTCAACACATACCTATTGCACCCCCAACACCAACCCAACCCCCTCCCCCAATGGAGACAAGACTTAATTTCAAAAATACAGGGAACCCTGTATTTCCATTAACCCTATAGACTTTGTGTGTGTATGTGTGTGTTTGTGTGTGTGTGTGGGGGGGGGGGGGGGGGGGGGCTATGATGTTTTACCATTAAGAAGCAAGTACTTCTAGGGGAAACAAACAACCCAATCCTACTTGCACTATATTCTTATGATCTTCCCTTATAGATTTGCCTCATACAAGACCATTTGTTTCAATAAACTTATGACTCTTTACCAAAAAAGAAAGAAAGAAAAGAGGCCCAAAGGGACTGGTTACCTGAGTATAATGTAACACTGTCAAAGGATCCAAAGATTGAATACAAGGGGCCGCATCGCTCACCTGAGCACTGTGGCTAGGAAACAAGCAAAAATCAGTTTAGTATTGAAAAGCTTAAATGCAAAAGAGGTTCCGACCTACCCCTAAATGGGAGGGTAGGGGTATGATTTGAACAAAATTGAATCTACACTAACTAAGGATACTTACATATTTTTTGACTGTGACTTTTTTTTCACTATAAGTTTGAACTTTCATTGTGGCCCCACCCTACCCCCAAGTGTCATGATTTGAACAAATTTGAATCTACACTATCTGAGGATGCTTCCAAATAAATATGACCAATCATGGCTTTGGTGTTCTTGAGAAGAAGATTTTTAAAGATTTTTCCTATATATTCCTATGTAAAACTTTGTCCATTGTGGCCCCACCCTACCCCTGGGGGTCATGATTTGAACAAACTTGAATCTACACCACCTGAGGATGCTTTCACATTAATATGACCAATTATAGCTTTGCTGTTCTTGAGAAGAAGATTTTTGAAGATTTTCCTATATACTCCTATGTAAAACTTTGATCATCCACTGTGGCCCCACACTACTCCAGGGGGTCATGAATTTAACAAATTTTAATCTAAATCACCTGAAGATGCTTTCACATTAATATGACCAATCATTGCTTTGCTTTTCTTGAGAAGAAGATTTTTAAAGATTTTTCCTATATATACCTATGTAAAACTTCGATCGTCCACTGTGGCCCCACCCTATCCTCAGGGTCATGATTTTAAGAAACTTGAATCTATACTATCTGACAATGATTCCACATGACTTTTATCTTTTCTGGTTTAGTGGTTCTTGAGAAGAAGATTTTTAAAGGATGTTATTGATTTTTCACTAATTCTTAATTATCCCCCCTTGGAGGAGGGTGTGGCCCTTCATTTGAACAAACTTGAATTCCCTTCAACCAAGGATACTCTGTGCCAAGTTTGGTTGAAATTGGCCCAGTAGTTCTGGAGAAGAAGATGAAAATGTGAAAAGTTTACAAAGACATCAGACAAATTTTGATCAGAAAAGCTCACTTGAGCCTTCGGCTCAGGTGAGCTAATAAAATAAAACAAAATAAGCTGATAAATGAAGCTATGTTGCCCAAAAGCAAGAGAAATAGGATGGTCAGGGATCAGCAAAACAATTTATTTATTGCTCAAAGTTAGTCTTAAAGTTGATCTACTTTTTTGCCCCCATTTGTCACCATCCCCATGCTGATTAAATAAAACAATAGTTCTTGAGCAATATTAGTAAACCAATGTCATTCCCTCTCACATTGGCCTAACTTAGTCTTTGAAGAACATTTAATGTACAAATGCAAGATATTTTTGTACTGTTTTTATTTATTTACTATTTACAAGTCTACCTGACCATTAAAAACTATGAAAGTACTTTTTGTATTAGTTATTAAATATTCTTGTATAATTCTGTTTTTCAATTGACCTTTCAATTACATTATTTACAATGTAAATTATCATAGGTGAATAGCAAAGGGGAATAACTTCTTTCTGTAGAATACAAATTAATAAATTCACCAAGTGGTGCAGAATTTTAACAATCTGGTAACAATGCCCAGGAGCATAGAAGAAGATTTTCAAAGAAATAATGCATTTTCATTAGATTCAACAAAGTCCCACCCTAACACCAGAGCCCCTGACCCAGGGGCCAAGAAATTCACAATTCATGAGGCACCCTTGCTCATCATAACCATTCACTTAGTATGTTTGCTAATTATCCATGGGCAGAGAATAAGAGTTTCAAAGAAATAATGCAGTTTTACTATATATTCAAGAGTCCCACCCTAACACCAAAACTCCTGAACCCATGAATATCAAACTTTTTGAAAAGATATCCTTGTTCATCACAACCATGTAATTAGTTTGACTGCCTAAACACCCAGGGGCAGAGAAGAAGATTTTCAAAGAAATAATGCATTTTCACTATATATTCAACATCTCCCCCACCTGGACCTGAGCCCTGGGGCCACCAATTTCACAATTTGGGAAGGGGCATCCTTGCTCATCATAACCATGCACTTAGTTTATCTGCTAAATACACAGGAGCAAAGAAGATTTTCAAAGAATTAATGCAATTTCACTATATAGTCAATACAGCCCCACCCTTACATCAAAACCCCTTACCCAGGGGTCATGAAATTCACAATTTTGGAAGAGACACTCTTGCTCATCTTAACTTTGCACTTGGTTGTTCAATACCCAATAGCAGAGAAGAAGAATTTCACAGAAATAATGCACTTTCACTATATAATCAACAGAACCCCATCCCCTCCCATAGAACCCTGACCCTGGGGCCACAAATTTCATAATTTTGGAAGAGGCAATCTATTAACAATAGAGACCCACCCTAAGACCAAAACCCCTGACCCAGAGGCCATGAAATTCATAATTTTGGAAGAGACTCCCTTGCTCATCATAACTATGCACTTAGTTTATCTGCAAAATACCCAGGAGCAGAGAAGATTTTCAAAGAAATAATGCAGTTTCACTAAGTATTCAATAGAGCCCCCCCCCCCCCCCCCCAACTGAACTCTTGCCCCTGGGGCCACAAATTTCACAAATTTGGAAGAGGCACTCTTGATCACCATAACCATACACTTAGTTTATCTGATAAATATCTAGGAGCAGAGAAGAAGATTTTCAAAGAAATGCATTTTCACTACATAATCAATACAGCCCCACCCTAACACCAGAGCCCCTGATCCAGAGGCCATGAAATTCACATTTTTTGTAGAGGCACCCTTGCTGATCATAATTATATACTTGGTTTATTTGCTTAAGAAGATATTCAAGAAATAATGCACTTTCTCTGTATAATCAATAGAGCCACCCCCCCCCCTTTCCTGTAGAACCCCTCACCCTGGGGCCACAAATTTCACAAGTTTTAAAGAGGCACCCTTGATCACCATAACCATGCACTTACTTTATCTGCTTTACATACAGGGGGAGAGAAGACAATTTTTAAAGAATTTATACATTTTCACTATATGGTCATTAGAGCCCCATCCTAACTCCAGAACCTCTAACCTTGGGGCCATGAATTTTAAAATTTTGGTAGAGAGCTCAATGCTTATTACAATCATGACAACAGTTTGACTGATTGATGTCCAGGAGTAAAGAAGAAGATTTTTAAAGATAGCATTAATTTTGATGATTTTAGCCTCAGGGACCATGATATTCAAAATTTTTATTCCCCTTCACTCATAGATGTTCTGTGCCAAAATTGGTTGGAAATGGTTCAGCAGTTCCAGAGAAGAAGCTGAAAATGTTCAAATATTAACGAACAACAACAGATGAAAACAGATAGCAATAGATCACCTGAGTGATCAGGTGACCTAAAAAGGAAAAACAAAGGAAAATGTGAATTGATATTACAAGCAAACTTGTATTAGATAAACTGATAAACTTTTGTGAGCTTTCAACTATTACTCTACAATCATGTTATACATCATACATATCAATTTTTCCAAAAGATAAGAGATAGTTTTGAATACTTTTTATGACATACACACAACCATGTTAGTTTGAAAATACCCAGTATAAATTTCAAGGTCAAGGTTCATTCACTCGCATTGACTGTTATTTGAAATTTCTTCGTACAGATATTGTACCAGAGCATCAATTTCCTTTCTGTCTTTTTGGATGATTGCTTGAATTTTAAAAAGTGCTCCTGATGTGTCTTCCAAAAGTTTCATGGCCTCACCCTAAAAAGAGCAAAAGAAAAATTCAAGAAGACCAAAATTGTGTCCTCAAAATTTTGCCCAAATGTCACTTTAGTTATCGGCCCGTTGTTTTTTACAAGCATGTATAGAATCAGGACTTGCCTTTGGGAAAGACAGTGGTTTGAATCTGTCAGATGGGTACATGATGGCTCGATTGTCCCAGCTGATCCCTATTACTTTGTTTTTCAGTCTTTGATATACAGTTGCAAGGTATAGAGTAATCTTGCTGCGTTCCAACAAAATCTTCATATCTTCAGAGCTGGTGGAATCTAAGATATCCTGTTTAAGACACCATTATTTTCTCAAAAATATAGGGAGCTTCCAGAAAAATTGCATTGTTAAGAATGATTCTTTGGTTATAAAAATTCCTTTTTTGTTGTTGTTGTATAATTACAAGATACTAGTATTTAGTATATTACAATGTTACAATGAAACATCATATAGCAAAGTCCTTGAGGCCTGTAGATCAACTTCACTACATCCATTCATTATATCCATGTAACAGATTTGTATAACTTAAATAAAAGCAAATTCACAAATACGTTGCTTCTGATTACCAAACATACTCAAAATATTAAATTAAAAAACCAATCTTGGAGAACTAGAATGTCCCTTTAATAAAATTTCTTTTATAAATGTTTATAAAAAAAATTACATATTTAAATTTTAGGACCCTAAAAATGTGTTATAAAAGATGTTGATTTTTTGTTATTTCTATTTTTGACCTCTGAGGGACACAAAATTAACTTGTTATATCAGTAAATTTGTTAGACCAGGGTTCATCATAACTGAATATTTTATAGGAATTGTTAAGAATGTTGCTTGGAACCCAACAAACATCACTATCATCTGTAAATTTGCTATATCTATGTTTGTACAAAAGTTTTACTGTACTCTAAACCTGCAGATTGTAAAAGCAATATTTGACCAAGTGCTTGGTTGTGTACTAACCAGTACTGGAGAAAGCAATAGTAGGACTTTATGGCTGTGTATTCTGTAGGGGTAGGAAGCTGCCACAGGTAAAATTAGAGCTGCTTGTGACTCTCTCTCTCTCCCACAAACCTGCTTCAACGTAGTGTCATTGATAGACTTCACCTCCATAAAGTATCTACAATCACATGTGTTCAACTTCCGAATGACTGCCAATCTTATTAAAATTCAATCTTAATTGTTCCCTTTTTCAAAAGTATCTGACTTGTAAAAGAAAAGAAGAAATTAAATTTTAATTAGCATGTGTCAAGCTGAAATGAGTTTCCATTTTTTGAAAAAACTGCTTTTTGATTGTCATTATTCAAGAGTTTTTGAAATCTTTTGAAATATTCTTGTATTGAAATTATCAAAACATAATGTAATACAAGAAATATTTTCCTAAAACTTTTGTTTTGTAAATTTGAGGTTAGGAAGGATAATTTAAGGTTAAAAAACTCTGACATTGTGGGAATGCTATCAGCAGGATGTATCCATATATAAAGTTGTATTCAAGAAAGCTACAAAGTGTTGACAAAAGTGAGTGGCAAAATACAAATGAAGAAAATAAATGGAGACCATATTGAAAGTCAATATCAAAAAATTTTGATATAGATTATTTGCCTTCATCAATATGTATCCACTTACATGTATGATGTTGCTGAAAATACTCATGAAAACACTTTCTTAAAAACTGAGCTATTTTCAAACAAGAGATGATTGTGAAACACTTATTCCCCCCCCCCCCCCCCCAATAATTGGAATTTTTCTATGTTCAAGGGGCAAAACTCTGTCAAAAATTGCTCAATCGTACCCAAAACATAACTTGACTTAGATATTTTTATGATAAATCTACCAAATTTCATTTCAGTATGTGCAACCTCTGCGAAGAAAATGAACAGAAACTACTAGTGGATTGACTGACTCACAGACAGCAGCAAAGCAATATGCCCTCCCTTCTTTGAAGGGGGACATAAAAATCAGAAAAAAATAAGGTCAATATCATAGGGAAAGGTTGAGGTTTGAAGCTTTTGGTGCTTTGAGCTTACTGAGAGGGTTTTGTTGTGTCCTTACTGCCGTAGATCAGAACACCGATTTGTGTGTCTTTAAACCTCCTCTGTATGGACTGGATCAGCTCTATAAGTACAGAATCTAAATCCTCCATACCATCTAATGTCTCCGGAACAACCAGGACAATATCTACTGGTGTGGCACTAGGGTCAGAGTTCACTGTAGAATTGTAAATGGAAAACAGTCCAACCATAGGGCTCTAATATTGATGGACATATAAATTAATAATGTACCAGTGTCATATATTATACATGTATTGAACCCCACAATATTTTGAACCTGGTTTGAAATATCACTCCAAGATATTGAACTCCCTGTTAAATAATGAACCTAGGGTTCAAAATATTTTAGCCATATTTTGATCCCCTTACTAAGGAGAGGGGTGGGTGGGTGGGGGGGGGGGTCAAAATATTATGCTATGACATACTGCACCCCATTAGACTTACATGTAGTTAAGAGGAGGGGGTTCAAGATATTATGGTTGCAAAAGATTGACCACCTCTACATTTAATTTCTTTTCATTGGGAGTTGAGGTTGGGGGTTCAGGACAATATGGCTGTAAAGCTTTACCCTTATTTTTTTTTAAGGGGATGGGTGTCAAGATATAATGGCTGTGAAATATTGCCCCCCCCCCCCAAAAAAAAAGTAGGCTTTCATAGTTAGAAGTTCAAGACATGGTAGTGAAATATTGACCCCTCTACATTTGGGGGGGGGGGGGGGGGGGGGGGGGGGTAAGCATATTATGGATGCAATATATTGAACCCCCATTAGAATTCAAAAGTTGGGAAATAGTGATCATCCTAGAGATTTTTTTTAACAGGTGGAGGTTGGTTTGTGTGTTTAAGTTATTATGGCTGCAAAATATATAACTCCCTACAGGTTTATTATGCAAAAAACTCTAATATGGGGTTAAATAATATTCACAGCCATATCTTGAATCCCTCTCCTCTTAACTTTAAAACTCTTATGGGGTTTCATTATTTCATGTCATAACATCTTGATCCCCTCTCCCCATTTCAATAAAATCAAAATGAAGAGGAGTCTATTTCCCAACCATACCTTGAACCTCTCCTCTTAACCATAAAAAATTAATAGTGATTCAGTAATTCAGAGCCATTATATCTTGAACCCCCTTCTCTTAACTATAAAAATTTAAGAAGGGTTCAATATTTTTCAGCCTGAACTTGAATCCCCCTCCTCTTAACTATAAAACTCTAATGGGGATTCAATATTTCACAGTCACATTATCTTCCATCAACACCACCCTTTCTTACCGAAAAAAATAAAGGTGTAAAGACGGTCAATATATCATGTCCATAATATCCTGAAATACCCCCCCCCCCCCAAAAAAAAAAACCTCTTAAGGAGGGTCAATATTTCTCAATCATAATATCTTTAATCCCCTGGCCCTCGTTTAAGTAACAATAGTTTAATGGGTGTTGAATATTTTGAGCCTCCAACCCCTTCTAATTCACCCCCCCCCTAAAAAAATGGTAATTGGGGGGAGTATGCTGTTGTAAAAAATTGAACCCAGGGTCAATATTTTATAACCATTATATTTTGAATCATTGGATCAATTTTTTTTTTTGTGGGGGGGGGGGGGGGGGGGGGAGTATTGCAACCCAGGTTCAAAATATTATGCAATATATTGAATCCGTGTTCAATGTTTTTTGGGGGGTCAAAATATTACCCTATACCGACATGCATTCAATGACTGCCTAATTTCTGAAATCTTAGTTAATAAGAATTTTTGACAACCTGATTTCAGTGGTTAGTCAACAGATAACTTACAGGTGTGAATATATTGCTGAGTGACATTCTGCATTTTTTCTTCTTGATGACAGTACTTGGGTCCACCAAGAGCAAAAGCTGGGAGGAATTGACTGAGTTTCTGTAATATCACTCCCTCAGGATCTCTCCAGTCTGTTCCCTTCTGAGAGTCCGGATTTCCAAGCAGACCCAGTGTCTCATTTCTAAACTCAGGCGACAGCTCCACATGGCATTCATTTTGGAGAATATGGAAGGTTAGGTTAATGCCGTGATTTGTTCCAATATTTATGGTGTGGTTGTTCGGTCTGGTTATTTGTATGTCTTTTTGAGCAGGTGGTAGCATCTTACTGGTGAAACAATACAAAATGTATACATGTATTTCCTGATCAGACTAAAGAGTGCATGTATCTTTTATTCTTAAACAATCTTTACTGAATTGAAAAAATATTTAATAACTTTTTTATTTAACAGACAACTCTAGGACTGATGGATACTGAGTATGCAGATGTTGTCATCATCCTAAGACATTTAATAATGATCTTACTGGATTATTTTAAAATTGAATGTATAGAATACCTAATTATGATATAATTTTTATAAATAGTTTGCAGATGCTTATATTAATCTCTGTCTTACGCTGGAACATCACAATCTCCATGGAATAATCTCCCCTTGTTGTCCACAGTAACAAAACTGTCCACGGTAAACAGAGAAATTTCACTGATAGACATGATAACAGCAAACCTTCCACGGTGGAAATCAGCTGTTAACAGGTGTTTACATTCCAGTTTGTTCTCTGAAATGTAAAATTAGGCTCCTCTACTGACCTTATAAAATCATTAATAAATCATCTCATAAAATACAGAAACAAGTCAGGAAAGACAATCTAGAGGCTCTTATACAAGATTCTGAATCCACACAAATGTCATGTCATAATGCTCATTTATTTAGCTAAATATGTGGACTGTTAAGGAGATTGTAGTAGTATAATTGGGAAGTACAAGTATAAATGTCTCAAATAGGAATGTTTTCTTAAGGAAAAAAGTATGGGTGCTCCATACAGGATACCCTCAGTTAAGTTTAATGAACTTTTTTTCATTTATGAATTAAAATATACATGTCTAAGTCATAATACTAATGTTTCAAATGGTAAAAACCTAAGAAATATCTATATGCATAACTTCTTGGAGTTTGTCTGCAAATCAAGATTACCGGTACAATTTATTGTATCTACAAATTACATTAAATATCAGGTATGTTAAAACAAAAAATCATCACAAACTACTGTATACAGGGAAAATTTCGCCCCCGTTTTATTTTAGCCCCTTTCACCCTACACACAAGTGGGCGAATTTAAAACGGGGCGAATTCAAAAATCACAGTATAATTTGTTAAACAGAATTGTGACTGGGCGAATTTAAAACGGGGCAAAATTGTTTGCAAGTATGAAAGGGCGAAAATAACCCTGTATACAGTAATATATTTTACCACACTGTTTCAACAAAGGAGACTATAAATATAATAGTTCTATTTTATTTGCTTGGGAATAAATACTGATAATTCAAGTCTGTGAAACCTGTACAGTACCTGGAATTTCAAATGATTTTCTATCAAACGTTGTGATTTGTCTGAACCCTTTTATGATGGCTTTATGGTTTGAAGGCTGTGAAGGTTTCCTTCTCTTTAGTACAGATAACACATTAGACAGGTACCTCTGACCAATTGTTTCCTTCCAATACTAATAATACAAATAATATGGTTATAACAACAGGAATAATAAAACTGGCATGTATCAAGAATTTACATGTATAATATAATTCCACAATCATACATTGACAAAAGGTTTTAAAATTTTCCTTCATCCAATATTTTAATTGGTTTCCATCAGACCAATGACCCACTGACCTGAAAAATACATAGGGTTCAACTACATGTACTAGTTTTGACTTACATGCTAAATCACTTTCATGCAATCTGATAGGTCTTGTCACAAGTAATGCACACGTGAAAAAATATCAAAGCCCCGTCTCTTCTGGAGAAAAAGTTATGACCAAAGTTAAAAGTATTGATAAGTAGGTAAAACTTCAAGGTCACGTGGTCAAAAAACAGTACATTTGGAAAGGTCTTGTCACAGGTAATGCACTTGTCAAATATGAACACCCTATCTTCTCTCATTCAAGTTATCACCAATGTTAAAATTTTTGAAAAGTAGGTCAATCATCCAGGTCAAGGTCTTGGGATCAAAAATCATAAAAATATTAAGTTTTTGTCACAGGTAATGCACATGTCAAATATGAATGCTATATCTTCTCTCATTTAAAAGAAATCATGAAAGTTAACATTTTTCACAAGTAGGTCAAACTTCAAAGGCAAAGTCATGGGGTCAAAAATCATACTAAATTTGGAAAGTTCTTGTCATAGGTAATGTACATGTGAAATAGGACAGCCCTACCTTTTCTCATTCAAATGTTATGTTAAGGTTCATCGACACTCTGAATAAATTTCTATTATTCCTGTCTTTTTTGTCCAATTTTGCCTCGAAAGCTATACTATAATTGTTTTTTATTTCATTTGTAAAACACATTTCTTTTGGAAAATCATTAGAGTTAAAGCAGCATTTTATATGAGTGAGCAGAGGGTTTATGAACCTTAAAGCTACTGTGACAGACAGACTGAAAGACAGACAGACAAAACAGATTTAATTTCCCCTTGCTTTTATGAAAGCGGGGACAAAAATACATTTCAACTCACTAGAAATGTTTTAATCTTGAAGGGGAATGGCTGTACCCAGACTAGTTTGCCCTCCTTTAAGATCTCAATGATCTTCCTCTTCAAGCTGTTTGTGATCCCTACCATAAGGCCAGGGGGGTTCTGGAGTGAATGTCCAGTTATCTTTAGCAATTCAGCAATGTACACATCCAAGTGCCAAATAAATGCTGATCCTTAATTAAAAATAGAAATCAGAAAAAAAAAAGTTTAATAATACTTCAGGATATTTACTAAGGTGATCAATTTTCTCTCAAGTTCATTACATAGAGATTCCTGTTGATAAATTTTGGTTCATTAACATACACATTTGTCCTGTGATATTCATTGATATATAATATTTTCTAAAGTACTTTACCTGTTTTATTCTTAGAAATCAGTTTAGACTTTATTGTACTTCTAATTGGCCTAGTAAGAGGTATAGCTTGCAGAAATGGCTCCAGATGATTCTTGTAAAAAGTATTCACTGTCTATATAAAAAGCAATCATTCTTAAATTGTAGTATGTTACTCAATTAGCAAGAACAATTATTTTTAAAGAATTCAATCAGAAAAGTCCTTAATTACCATGTTCAAAAAAGGAATTTCTTTTCCTGGGAATGTCTTTCTAAGATTAGTCATCATTGTTTTGCTTGCTGAAATGAAAGCCTGTCCCACAAGGTGTACAGATGACCTGATGGCCCTCAATTGATGGGGTAGATTTGTTTTATCTGTGGGCCAGGACAGGTTGTTTGTGATCTGGGTAGACCCAGTCACTTCACTCACCAAAGTCAAGACATCGCTCACATTGGACTGTATAAAAAGCAAGGAAAAAAAATTTCAATGAAATCAAAGGTTTCAACAAGTATAAGTTTTTTAAGGTATGAATCCCAAGTGAAGACTGGTCCATTCTTTCATATAATAATTTATCACATCTGAAAGCTTATTAAGGCCAGAGTAAAAAGGAGACTTAAATATTTACATTTATACATGTACACTACTATATGGATTTAAATGAGAAATGTCAATTCATCATTTGATCTCACCACAAGTATATATCACCATAACACAATTTTCTGATGGCAAAGGCATTATATGATTTCTTTTTATTATATTAAAGAAAGTTCATTTACCTGAACTTCTGAAGTCAGTGTTACATTCATGAGTTTGGGCATAACAAACTGGACATTCATTACATAGTTTTTGTTCCCTTTGGAAAATTTACCCTGGATACCAAGTTGTCCATCCATTCGATAACCAAATTGCCAATCAATACCAAATGTCATATCCAAAGGAATAAAAGAGATCTGCAAAACAAGAGGTCCAGGGGCCACATCGCTCACCTGAGCACTTTGGCTAGGAAAAAATAACAAATAATGACAAATAATGGCTCTGTTCTTAAGAAGAAAATTTTGATTGATATATCCTTTGTATTCCTTTGTATGATCCCTTGTTATGGCCCCTCTATTCTCCAGGGGATCATGATTTGTACAATTTGAATCTACATTACCTGATGATGCTTCCATTTAAATATGACTAATCATAGCTTTGCTGTTCTTGAGAAGAAGATTTTTAAAGATGTTACCTATATATTCCTATGTAAAACTTTGATCACCCATTGTGGCCCCACCCTACCCCTGGGGGTCATGATTTGAACAAACTTGAATCTACACTACCTGAGGATGCTTCCATATAAATATGACCAATCATGGCTTTGCTGTTATTGAGGAAGATTTTTAAAGATTTTTCCTATGTTTTCTTATGTAAAACTTTGATAGCCTTGTGGCCCCACCCTACCCCCCGGGGGTCATAACTGGAACAAATTTGAATCTACACTAACTGAGAAGGCTTCCATATAAATATGACCCATCATGGGTTTGCTGTTCTTAAGAAGAAGATTTTTAAAGAATTTTCCTATATATTCCTATGTAAAACTTTGAATGCCCATTGTGACCCCACCCTACCCCCGGGGGTCATGACTGGAACAAACTTGAATCTACACCAGACTTGTCGAAATCCGTCGGTCCTGTCGGCAAGGCCGGTAAAAATTTGTCTGGACCGACAACTTTTAAGAAAACGTCGGTCCAAATGACCGTTTGAAAAAATCGAACGTGATGCAAATTTAATAAAGGTCGGGATCGGGATGCCTAGCTGAAGGTCACAAACACAGAAAAAAATGGCCGTGTACGCGGCGCGTTGACGATAGCCAATTAAATTTGTTATAGCAAAGTCATAAAACGTGTCATTTATGTCTTTTATTAAAGACTTTCTATCCCAAGGAAGGAAACTTGTAAGATTGAAGGCTGTTGAAAATAATCCAGGGCATTTTGGTGCTGTTATTCATACGACTTTCACAGCGTCAAAATAAGGTACATGTATCTGGTCTGACAAAACTTTGACTGGTCCGACAGAACATTTGACTTTGTCAGACCAAATGTCTGACAATGATTTTAAAATTTCGACAAGTCTGCTACACTAACTGAGGAGGCTTCCATATAAATATAACCCATCATGGCTTTGGTGTTCTTGAGAAGAAGATTTTTAAAGATTTTTCCTATGTATTCCTATGTAAAACTGATCCCCCATTGTGGCCCCACCCTACCCCTGGGGGTCATGATTTGAACAAACTTGAATCTACAATACCTGAGGATGCTTCCAGATAAGTTTCATATCTTCAAGCACAGTGGTTTTTGAGAAGATTTTTAAATGATGCCATTAATTTTTCATGAATTCATAATTATCTCCCCTTGGAAGAAGGCGTGGCCTTTCATTTGAACAAACTTGATTCCCCTTTACCCAAGGATACTTTGTGGCAAGTTTGGTTGAAATTGGCCCAGTGGTTCTTGAGAAGAAGATGAAAATGTGAAAAGTTTATGACAACGACAACGACGACTACTACAACAACGACAGACAAAGGACAAATTTCAATCAGAAAAGTTCACTTGAGCCTTTGGCTCAGGTGAGCTAATAATAATTGATTTAAACCTAATTCACACAATTTAATGTTGATCACACAAGAGTTGCCATTTTATTTAATGCTCCTTTATTTCAAACCATAGTTTGTTTGTATATATATGTATATACATGTATATTGTACTCCGAAAATCTCCTGCGTATCATACATTTCCACAAATGTTTCTTTCCTTGTAATCTCTGCATACTTATTACTACATGCTAAATTAATTGAATCTGTGATTAGATATTACCTAAGTTTCTGATAACCTTACTTTCAACATTTTCAGTGCTTACTTTACATTCAATGTCTCAACTCTGTTTCCTTTCCACAGTCACACCTTTACACACCTTGATTCTCCTCCTCTGCTTCCTTAGTTTCCACAGTCACACCTTTACATACCTGAGTCTCCCCCTCTGCTTCCTTAATTTCCACAGTCACATCTTTACATACCTGAGTCTCCCCCTCTGCTTCCTTAGTTTCCGCAGTCACACCTTTACATATCTGAATCTCCCCTCTGTTTCCTTAGTTTCCACAGTCACACCTTTATAATACCCAAGTCTCCCCTCTGCTTCCTTAGTTTTCACAGTCACACCTTTACATACCTGAGTCTCCCCTCTGTTTCCTTAGTTTCCACAGTCACACCTTTATAATACCTGAGTCTCCCCTCTGCTTCCTTAGTTTCCACAGTCACACCTTTATAATACCTGAGTCTCCCCTCTGCTTCCTTAGTTTTCACAGTCACACTTTTATAATACCTGAGTCTCTCCTCTGCTTCCTTAGTTTTCACAGTCACACCTTTACATACCTGAGTCTCCCCCTCTGCTTCCTTAGTTTCCGCAGTCACACCTTTACATATCTGAGTCTCCCCTCTGTTTCCTTAGTTTCCACAGTCACACCTTTATAATACCCAAGTCTCCCCTCTGTTTCCTTAGTTTTCACAGTCACACCTTTACATACCTGAGTCTCCCCTCTGTTTCCTTAGTTTCCACAGTCACACCTTTACATACCTGAGTCATCCCTCTGTTTCCTTAGTTTCCACAGTCACACCTTTACATACCTGAGTCTCCCCTCTGCTTCCTTAGTTTCCACAGTCACACCTTTACACACCTAAGTCTCCCCTCTGCTTCCTTAGTTTCCACAGTCACACCTTTACATACCTGAGTCTCCCCCTCTGCTTCCTTAGTTTCCACAGTCACACCTTTATAATACCTGAGTCTCCCCTCTGCTTCCTTAGTTTCCACAGTCATACCTTTACATACCTGAGTCTCCCCCTTTGCTTCCTTAGTTTCCACAGTCACACCTTTCTAATACCCGAGTCTCCCCTCTGCTTCCTTAGTTTTCACAGTCACACTTTTATAATACCCAAGTCTCCCCTCTGCTTCCTTAGTTTTCACAGTCACACCTTTACATACCTGAGTCTCCCCTCTGCTTCCTTAGTTTTCACAGTCACACCTTTACATACCCAAGTCTCCCCTCTGCTTTCTTAGTTTTCATAGTCACACCTTTACATACCTGAGTCTCCCCTCTGCTTCCTTAGTTTCCACAGTCACACCTTTACATACCTGAGTCTCCCCTCTGCTTCCTTAGTTTCCACAGTCACACCTTTACATGCCTGAGTCTCCCCTCTGCTTCCTTAGTTTCCGCAGTCACACCTTTACATATCTGAGTCTCCCCTCTGTTTCCTTAGTTTCCACAGTCACACCTTTATAATACCTGAGTCTCCCCTCTGTTTCCTTAGTTTCCACAGTCACACCTTTACATACCTGAGTCTCCCCTCTGTTTCCTTAGTTTCCACAGTCACACCTTTAAATACCTGAGTCATCCCTCTGTTTCCTTAGTTTCCACAGTCACACCTTTACATACCTGAGTCTCCCCTCTGTTTCCTTAGTTTCCACAGTCACACCTTTACATACCTGAGTCACCCCTCTGCTTCCTTAGTTTCCACAGTCACACCTTTACATACCTGTCTCCCCTCTTCTTCTTTAGTTTCCACAGTCACACCTTTACATACCTGTCTCCCCTCTGTTTCATTAGTTTCCACAGTCACACCTTCACATCATTAGTTATCCAGGTCCAATCAATGGTGTACGGGGATTTACCTCGGGTGTTATTCCATACACTCTGAGGCCAAAGGCAGAAGTGTGTATGGAATACAACCGGGGTAAATCCCCATACACCCTTGGACCTGGATAACGAATTTATTTCCTTTGTACCCAAATAAATTCTTTGTAAACAAGTACAATCAACTGTGTTTCAAGCTATCAATTAGATTTACTACATCCTACAATGCACCGCTACATCATATTATTTGCTTTTTATCATAGTGAAACTATGCATTGTGACGTCTCGTTTTTTTACCCCCGGCTCAAGTCGGGTGTACAGAAATTTACACCCAACTTTGTAACCTATCAAAGCTTGTGTGACAAGCTATATAGGTGATAAACCCTAATACTCCTCCCTTTGCTTCATTAGTTTCCATAGTCACACCTTTACATACCCTGATTCTCCCCTCTGCTTCATTTATTCTCAAAATCTTCTCTGCCTACCTCACATTCAACAACTTCAACTCTGCTCACTTTACTTTCAACTGTGCATACTCAGGTTTACTGGTTAATTCACATTCAACAGCTTCACCCCTGCTTACTTTACTATAAACAGTTCCTACTCTATCTAAGCCTTACCCCTGTTAACTTAATTTTAAACAATTCCTACTCTATCTTAGTCTCACCCCTCCTTACTTCGTTTTAAACAGTTCCTACCATATCTAAGCCTCACCCCTGCTTACTTTACTTTAAACAGTTCCTACTCTATCTAAGCCTCACCCCTGCTTACTTTACTATAAACGGTTCCTACTGTACATAAGCTTCACCCCTGTTTACTTTACTTTAAACAGTTCCTACTCTATCTAAGCCTCACCCCTGCTTACTTTACTATAAACGGTTCCTACTGTACATAAGCTTCACCCCTGTTTACTTTACTTTAAACAGTTCCTACTCTATCTAAGCCTCATCCCTGCTTACTTTACTATAAACGGTTCCTACTGTACATAAGCTTCACCCCTGTTTACTTTACTTTAAACAGTTCCTACCATATCTAAGCCTCACCCCTGCTTACTTTACTATAAACGGTTCCTACTGTACATAAGCTTCACCCCTGTTTACTTTTCTTTAAACAGTTCCTACCATATCTAAGCCTCACCCCTGCTTACTTTACTATAAACGGTTCCTACTGTACATAAGCTTCACCCCTGCTTACTTTACTATAAACGGTTCCTACTGTACATAAGCTTCACCCCTGCTTACTTTACTATAAACAGTTCCTACTCTACCTAGAGTCCCAGTTCTGCTTACCTTGCTTTGAATAGTTCCACTGTGATTGAAGAATGCTTCAGAATTATTCAATATGATTCTAATATTGTGTCTGGCTGTCCAATATGAGTTGGAGTATCCTAAGAGAATATCCACAATGTATTTCGGATAGCCACCAGTTTTATTAAGAATTATAGTATCTGTAATAAGTTGGAATCATTGATCATTAAGAAAAAAAATACCAATTATGATTAATGTATTTCAATACTGTGTATTACATGTATATATGTCCATTTATTGAAAGACATTTAAAATAAATGAAGGAGTCAAACAAACATGTTTTGGAAATTCTACTTACACACTAAATTGTCCTGATGGAACCAATACTCCCAGAGGACAAGGGAAAAAAATGCTCACTTTAAAATAGCTTTAGAAAGAGCCCTGCCATTTTGTCAAACAATTATAATTCAAATTCCCATGGCCTGAATCATATGGAATGTACAAACAGTCTGAATGTTGTAACACCTCAAAAACAATGCTTGTGTTGAGAATGAAAATTCATCTACAGCCCAAGTCACAAAATAAACAACTTCTCAGACCATGACTTTATACTATACCTCCTACAAAAAGTCTTATCTTTTAGAATTTTAAATTACAGTCAAATTCAACTGTTAACCTCCAAAACATGCACCATTTATATAATGTTGTGAACAAGAATGTTACACTTCAAACCCAATGACCTTGAACTTGTCCAAATGACTATGGTGTATTGTTGTTACACACCCTTTAGGTACAAGCATCCTTTGGGCTTAGTAAAATCTTCTCATGTTTTTTTTTCCACATCAAAGTTATAGCTATAGCAAGAATTCTATACTTCTACAACTGGTGAAATTGATCTTGAGTTTCTCCAAATTACACTGGTTATGGTCAGGACATACCCTTTAGTCACAAGCACCCTTTGTCTCAGTTTAAGCTTCTACTATTTTTATATTTTAAAGTTGTGGCTAAAACAATAATTTGATACATATGTACACTGTGATCTTGACCTTGTCCAAAATGACCTTGGTAATTTTGACAAATCCATCTGAATACCAGATGCTCAAGTTCAAATAATATTTATTAATTCTAAAGGTTTTTTTTTAAATATTGAGTAGTTTCAAAGATCATTTTTAAACAATAGAAAATGTCTACAGACAGATGGACATGGTGATTCCAATATATCCCCCCCCCCCAACAAAAAAAAAACTTTGTTTGTACGGGCATAACAAACATGGCATCACACCAAGATATGGAAGTTTTTTTTTATTTGTTTGTTTTGTATTTCTTTCTGTAAATAATTATTTAAACAATTGACACATGATGTCAATGGTTGCTAAAAATGACTATAAGTTGTCCAGAAAATGATACTTTACTATCGGTCTGATAGTCCAGGAACTTCCATGGAGTAACTTGGTGAGCTTTGAATAGCACTGTGACAGTCTTGTTTTTCTTCTTTTGTTCTTGTTGCTTCCATTCTTGTTGTTTCAGTAAGATCTTTTTGGACATGTTGAAATTCCAACTGGGTTGCACAGTATTTGTAATATTTAAGGATGAACTTAATTCACAATCCTTAAAATAAATTTGTTTGGCAAACAAGTTGATATCTGCAGTAACTGATGCATCTAAATCTTCTCTGGATACATCAAATTCCTTCTGTCTTCCATACAATAAACTTGAATTAAACCAATGCCTACAAATTTCAAAATTGTATCCTTCTTTCAACAGTTTAATAAGTATTCTTTGTGTTTGATAAATATTATCTATCTCAAAAATAAATTTAATATCAAATATCAGAGATGTCTCCAAGAAAGCCAGCACTGCTTAACAGTATAGTCAGACCTTGTTTTTCAAACTCAGTGGGGGTGTGAGAAAACTGAAATATCTGAGGATTCAAGATATTGGGGGTTGCCATAAAAAAGTATCTGGGATTTTCAACTCACTTGACAAAAGCATGGTATTTGAGATATAGATGACTGACATACTGAAGTTCAACTGTAGTTACTGTATATAATTCTGTGCTAGGCATTGACCACACAACTCCCCCTCTCTCTGAGTAGAGAGACCTGACTTATGGACTTAAGGGTTGATCTCATCACATATCTATTATCGATAAATCCACCCACCATCATCCTGTTATCATTACATATGATTTTGACAATTTGAAGACTTGTATTCTTATGTAAAAGATATTTCTTACATATTTCTACATAAAAATCTGGATTCCTATGTGAACCCATCCTTGATCTGGGGCTCATATTTATGAACAATCTTCAATAAACCTTCGGCAAATAAACTTGACATTTTGTGGCCTTGAGTTCTTGACTGGATAATATTTTTATCATTCTGTAACAAAAAATAATAACAATAGGGTACTTTAGTGACTCAGACCTTTTAATTCCTTATACCGGTAGTTAAAATTATTTTGTGAGGGAAGGAGTGGGGGGAGATGTGAGAGGAAGGTGGGGGGAATAGGATGAGGGGGGAGTAGGAAGGGGAGAAAAAAGAAAGAAGTGGGATTGGAAAAAGGAGAAGGAAAGAGGAGACTGAAAAATGAAAAAAGGAGAAAAAGAGGGGGAGAAGGGAAAGGGAGAATGGCCACCATCTCCTCTACCTTCAAATCAGTTTATCAGTTCTTTTTCTGATTAAGAAGTCCTACCGGCTATTTAAAAAAGTGTTTCTGATCAGTTTTCCAATAGATCCTTTGCCAATCAAGTACTCAGAGCTGTCACAGGATGGGTACACAAAGATTAGTTTGTAGTCAAAGTTTGTTGCAGGACCCTGTTGTAAAAGTAGAGGAGTTCTTTTTGTTGTCAGATTTGCCCTCATTCTCCAGTTCTGTTTACTTAATATTCCAGACCATTCACATTCAGAGTATGCCCCTTTCTTTTCACCATCCTGTCTATTTGTGCTTGTCATTGACATTGACTTTAAATTCTGTAAAAATTAGCAAATTATTGAAGAGTATCAAAATTATTCTTTCATCATGGCTATAAAAATATCCTAAGAATTAAGTAAATTTACAAAAGCAATTTAAGGTTATTACTTTTTTACTTACATATACATGTATTTCAATTCAGTATTTGGACACTTACTTCATTTATAGCAAAAAATTATTACATGTAAAAGTAAATTTTTTAAAATAAGGAATTTCAATTTGAAATAAACAAGATATGTTTACCTTGGATTTGTGTGGGTCTGTTGTATTGAACAGTTTATAGAACACATCTATATCAGCTCCTATATTCTGAGCCAAACTGATATGGCTTGAGACATTCACGCTGTATCTGTCTTTCTGTTCAAGCAGAATGTTAAACTGGTATCCTGATTTCTTATTCTCAGGTTTTTTTATCTTTGCATTTACCATTAAATTAACCTAAACATAAAATAAATCACTACAGTGATAAACGTAAACATATTTATGTCATTCTTGGTGTCAGCAAAAAAGAAATTATACTAGAATGATGCACATGTACCTGTTGCTGATGCTTTCCAAGGAATGAAACATCTGCTGAAATATCAACAAGTGTTTCATTGTTTTCTTCTCTGTACTCTATTTCAACATCTTGACCTGCATCATCAAAAAATGCATCTGGTTGACTGTAATGTTTTTTCAGTCTATGTAATATGAATACAATGACAAATAAATGACAGTTACATACTTAGAGATAATATAAATGTATCTCAATCTCTCAAAAAAAGCTCTCATATCATAAATATTTACATTATATATGTATTTTTCTTATAAAGTATGCTGAAAACTTTGGTATTCATAACACCAAAAACCAGACAGGGAAATTAAAAGGTAAAAGTAATGATTTTTATTTTGATGTCAACTTTGAACACTGTAAAAGTGCAGCGTCATTAATGAAAATCAAATTCACGCTCACCTTGAACAGAAATGGCTCAATTTAGCTATACAAGAGTGTAGTGTGTATCATATAATCAGGTATGATGTATTCAAGGATGCAATATTTTATCAATCTTCTGTGTATTCATTAAATGTAAAACATAACACTGAATCGTAAATTTCGGACATTCATCATGACAAAAACAATGCTTTTGCTCGGGCAGCTTATTCAATTTGTCAGCACATGTTATGACACAAAGAAAGTCAAAAACTTATAATTCAATGCTTAAATGAACTAGTATTGCAAGGAAAAACAGATTCATGGACCAGAATGCTCACCTAATTCAAATTCTTCACAAATCTGACTTACATGAATTACATTGCAATCCAATCTAATTCATGTAAAAGTGCAAGGGCTATGATTTGAACAATTTGAATTTACATTTATAAGTATACATATTCATTTATTCAACAACTTTAGCTATACTGTAAAAAAATCTTTCTTTTCTTTTTTTAATACATATTAAGAAAGTTATTTTGTATTCTGATCAACAAAGTGACAGACGTGAGCATCTGGCTCAGGTTCTTAATAAGTCAGCGTAAAAGTCCAGATTCTCTAAGATGATGGATTAGTATGTTACAGTAATTCTTTCCTAACTATGCAGCCAAATTAAGCCTTGAGTCCATCTAAATGGATATTAATCGACTTATATTTCTCTCTGGATGGACCACTCTAAATTGTATCAGTCAGTAACAAGTCATGAGTACATGAACTTAATATCAGCAACAACAACAAAAAAAAAAAAGAGTTACCTGGATATCCTACGTGAAAAGTGTAATTTCTTATAGAAGTTTCATTTTTGTTGAGATCACTCAATTCCATTTCAATAAATACATCACTCCTGTCTCCATCCTTTGATGCATATTCTGTGTTAAAGTGTAGTGGATATAGGGAGGGCCAAGCCTTAGTGCTAGAGCAGAAAAATATAACAGTCCTCAAAATAAAATGAAAATGAGTTAGATTTATTATAAATCAATTATTATAGTTGTCAAGTTCCCCAACTGAAATTACCAGTAATAATCATTCTTGATGGCACAGATGTAGGTGTAAGAAAGTCATTAGTGTGGGAAGAAGCCAGTTAAATGTGCTAACCACTAAGCCTCCCAGACAAACAACAAGAGGCCCATGGGCCACATCGCTCACCTGAGCACATTGGCAAGGCAAAAGCACAAATCAGTTCAGTACTGAAAAGATAACGGGGGGGGGGGGGGGGGGGGGGGGGTTGAATTGTAAACTACCTGATGATGCTTCCATGTCAATATAACAAATGGCTATGTTGTACTTGGGAAGACTTTTAAAAAAATTTTTCCCATATATTCCTTTGTAAAAATTTGATCCCCCATTGTGGCTCCTCCCTATCCCAGGGGTCATCATTTGAACAAACTTGAATCTACACCACCTGAGGATGCTTCCATATCAATATGACTAAACATAGCTTTTCTGTTCTTGAGAAGAAATATTTTTCTATATGTTCTTATGTAAAACTTACAATCCCCCTATTGGGCCCCACCCTACCCTCGGGGGTCATCATTTGAACAAAATTGAATTTACACTACCTGAGGATGCTTCCACATCAAAATGACTAAACATGATTTTCAGTTCTTTTCGGGGGTCATGATTTGAACAAACTTGAATTTACACTACCTGAGGATGCTTCCATATAAATATGACTCATCATGGCTTTTCTGTTCTTGAGAAGAAGATATTTAAAGATTTTTCCTATACATTTTTATGTAAAACTTTGATCCTCCATTGTGGCCCCGCCCTACCCTCTGGGGTCATGATTTGAACAAACTTGAATCTAGACTACCTGAGGATGCTTCCACATGAGTTTCATCTTTCCTGGCCCTGTGGTTCTTGAGAAGAAGATTTTTAAAAGATGCTATTAATTTTTCACTAATTCTTTATTATCTCCCCTTGAAAGAGGGTGTGGCCCTTCATTTGAACAAACTTGAATCCCCTTCACCCAAGGATACTTTGTGGCAAGTTTGGTTGAAATTGGCCCAGTGGTTCTTGAGAAGAAGTCGAAAATGTGAAAAGTTTACAGACGGACGGACGGACGGAGAGACAGATAGACAGATGGACAGACGGTCTACAGACAAAATGTGATCAGAAAAGCTCACTTGAGCCTTTGGCTCAGGTGAGCTAAAAATGGAATGCACAATCTTGTATACAATAAACTGCACAAAGAGTGCTTTAACATTAAAGATAATTACAAAATAATATCTTAAACATGTTTTGAGATAAGAATTTAAGTTGGCATGTACGCAGTATATTAATAGCAAATTGTACCATATTTTCATATGTAACTTCAATGTTAAGTACAGTGGGACTTGTTTAAACTGAATGTTGCCTGATACAATGTTAACCTCAAGTCCTTTTCAGTAAATTCAATTGTTTAATCTGTCTAATCCAGAATGTTGCCTGGTACGATCAATATCTATGGAATCAGTGGTGTTCGGATTAGACAAGTTTTACTGCACATATAATATGATTGCAGAATTGAAGTTGCATTGGACTTAAAGAAGAATTACCACATAATATTGTAAAGACAGTAGTAGATATGTACATTAAATCTTATTTACCAGAAAAGTTTTCTTTGTAGTTTCCTGTATATATGGTCAGAGCTGTATCTTATTTTATCCCAGATAAAGTCCACTTCAAACTCTGGAGCACTTATTTCAAAAGATTTGTTTCTAGATGATGTTCCTCCTAAATGAAAATGACTGGATGTGGATGTTTCCTGTATTTAAAAAATAGCAAAAGTACAGGTCATCAGCCTTACATGAGGTGAGTATACCTGAATAAATACAAATCTCCCATGTTTGGAGATTGGATATTACCTTTTTTAATCATATAGTTTTTTTTGTTTTCTATCTAACATTGGTGAAAGAAAACATACAATTTAGATAAGAAAAATTTATATCAAATCATAAAACATGAGATATTCTTTGTATTACATGTTTTAATGAACTCTTAATGGTTCCCTTTCTTTGCCTTCGCTCTAGGCCTTAATGCATTACCTAAGCAATTTGTGTCAAACTAGAAACATGTCCACAGGACATGAATGCCCAACCCAAGGTACTGTACATTTGTATTCAACATGAAAAGAAATGTACTTCAGCTTCCTTCTATGGTCGGAAATTGATTCATCTAACAGTTAAATGAAGTCACATTTAGCAAATTTATATGTGATCTCTTTAGTTTATATGGTAAAAATGCTCTACAAAGATTTATTGATGCATGGAGTTTCCTGAAGTAATCCTGTATGGAATTAAATAAGACAAACTAAGAGCAAAATAAGGGAAAAAAATTAAATTCATGGTCATAGCAATATTCAAGGTCAAGAGATTATGACATCTTTAGTTGTCCTCACTAATTTGTACACTGTTTTAAGATACAAAGTTTGATGGAAATATTTTGTACAAAATGAAAGAAGAATGAGGTCAACATCATTAGAAAGGTCAAGTTAAGAAAATAATGACAGAGTTGAATTGCTCTAACCAATATGCATCTTAGTAAAGTATATGCAGCTATATCAAAAAATCTTCTATGATGAAGTTCAAGGTCATGGAAAGGTTATAAGGAAGAAAAGTAACAAAGGAAATTCAAGGTCAAAAAATTATGATAGAATTAATTGCTCCAACCAATAAATAGTTTCGTATAAAGTTTGATTAAAATAGCTTGAAAAGTGAAATTAAGGTAAAGACCAGAAAATTGTGCCATAGTTGAATAGCTTTCACCATTTTGTATTAGTGCTATAATTTTTATGAAAATTCTAAACCTTGCTAAAAGCAGAGCGATGATGAGGTCAAGGTCATTCGAAATGTCAAGGTCATTTTTTAAAAAAAAAAATCTTTGCATGAAGTTTGATGAAAATACTATCTTGAACAGTTTCTTTGAAACTAAACTTGAACACAAGGAAGGTCACCGTCAGAAAATTAATTTCCATCAACATATACATATATCAGTGTATGAGTTTTGATAAAATATCATGAAACTTTTTTCTGAACTTTTATAAATGCAAATGAAGTAATAGTTAAGTCAAGCTAATTGAAAGGTCAAGGTCAAAATAAGCTTCCAATGATGCTTCATTTTAAAGTTACAGCCTGAACATGATTGCCAAGACAGACAGAAGGACAAGGTGATCCTCCAAAACTTCCTTTACAGGGAGTAGAATGACTTAAAGGCAATGTATTTTTTTTTTTTAATCTTTTTTATTATCTTTTATCTTATTTCATTACTTTATTGATTTAATCATTCAGAATTCTACCTCAGTCTTTCATGTTTAGACATGCACACATGTATTCAATGGTTACTTGATATTACTCAGTATCAAATTTAAAGGGTGGGTTAAGAAAAATTGACCTTTTGACTAAATATTAGCTGAATATAAAGAGATTTATGAGGGTAGACTTAATTATTACATACTTTAGAAACAAATTATTTTGAAGACCAACGCATTTTCTACAAGAATTATCGAAATTCTATAATTTGTTTAATATACTTGGTACAAAACTTTAATCATAACTGATTTTCATGATTTTCATGCATGTATGTACCACTAAGTAACAGGATGGGGAAAAATCACAGGACTGACAACCTGAACTGTAGGATCTTCTATAAGCTTTCTGGCAACAGCAAACAAAAATTTCTTACTAGTACACGTAAGTAAAATCTTAACCATTAACTACCGGTATTACTGATTTCATTTTCTGTTTTCCTTTTCTTCATGATATATATTAGCGTACATGAGTATATTTAATGATCAACGATTCTCAAAATTTATTTTATTTTACCTTCATAATGAACCCATACAAATGACGTCCATTACTATAAACACGGACTCCTTTGGCTCTTTTATGCAACCATGTATTATTTACTGGACTCCTGTCATTTTCATTAATTGCATCAAAGGAAAAGTTCCTGCTTGATGTAACAATATGTGCAAAAAATGAATAGTCTTCTAATTTCAAGTTTGTCAAGGTGAAGTTTAATTTTTGACTTTCTTTACCACCTGAAAAAAAAATATTTCTGAGAAAGATATTGTGACATTGCTTAAAAATAAAGTGAATCAATTTTTATAGTATTAAGACTGTCTTTAGATTGTATCTTAGCAAAAACTTTTCTTAGGACAAATGACACTGGGTAATTTTGCTTTGAGGGGACATAGTCATCAGACTAAAATGACTATATTATATTTTCCAATCCTATAGGATTAAGAATATAGTGATGAATTCTAAAATATTCTCAAAATAAACTTTTGTTCTTAGAAAATACAACAGCACAAACAGGAAAGACCCAATGGGCATAATACTCACTTGTGTCATATCTGTCTTCACAAATGAATGTGTAAATGAAACTCCTTGTTGACACAAACTTAATGCAAATGTTTTCAAAAGCATCAATCTACACTAATCCCCAACTAAAGGAACAGTGAGCACTGAGCTCATAAAATAATACCCCCCTCCTCCCATATGTTTATAATGGTAAAGTCCATGTTTTGCTATGGGAGATCCAAAATAAGTAAAATAAGAGGTGCACAATGGCATTTTGTAACAAAGATTCTGTGAAAGAATCATTAAATTTTATTCAGTGGTATGGGAGGAGTTGCAGATAAGAGATGGGTACCCCTCAATATTATAGAAAGAATGCCAGTGTTCTATGTTGTGCTATTGGAAACCCAAAATATGTGTCCGATCAAAAAGTAAAGTAGGAGGTGCACAATGGCACTATGTAACAAGATTAAATTTTATTCAGTGGTATAAGAGGAGTTGCGGATAAGAGATGTATATCCCAAAGCATAACAGACAGACGTACAGACAGAAGGATGGACGGACACCCCAATTTCAAGTGGGGGGGGTATAAAAAATAAGTCATTCACAAAATAACGTTGATTTTAGTTGGAAGTTCTTTTGGCCCTGTCCCCTACTGTTGTTCTGCCCTGGCCCTCAGAGAGATACTTTGAATCAACACAAAATGACAATAGTTACTAAACTTAGTAATCTAAAACTCTTATTGAACATAGAAATCTGAGTAACTGTAGCTCTACTATTCTTGAATAGGTTTGAAGATTTTTTCATATTTCTCTGTCAAACTTTGATAAACTTGTTAAACTCTGTGGTCTAACCATTGCCCAATGGGGTCAAGATTTCAACATGTGCACTGATCAGAGTAACTTTGCCCTTGCTGTTTTTGAGAACATTTTTAAAAAGCGTTTCTTATATCCTCCAAATTAAAATATGCTGTGAAGCACCTTGAATTGAACAAATCCTTATTTACACAAAGAGGATGCTAGCTGATTAAATCTGACTTAATTGTTCTAGAGAAGTTTTTATTTTTTTCCCCTCTATATAATTCTATGTCCAACTTTTATTCCCTAATACACAGTATACTGACCTGTAGTTTCTGTCAAAATTTCTATATGCCTATCCTTCAAATCTTTTCTCTCTTTGTAATCAGCAACTACTTTCAAATTCTTGAATGTGCTAAAACATCCAATTATACAGTCATGTACATAATCAGGGATGAATTCATTTTGAAATGGACTAAAAAGTAGATAATATTAGACAACAATACAAAGAGATGATGATTGTCATATTATGTGTTCCTTCTGCAACAAATATGAACATATTATATTCAGAACTAGAAATATGTCCATAGGACATGAATGCCCCGCCAAGGGTATATTAGTAATGCAACATTTTAACACAAATTGAGAAAAGTGAGGTCAAGGTCAAAGGAAAGGTCAAGGTCAAAAAATATTGCTGCAGTTGAATAGCTTACATCAGTATGTATCAGCATATGACATTTGATTCAGAAACTAATTTAAGAAAAGTGAGGTCAAGATCAAAGGAAAGGTCAAGATCAAAAAATGTTGATGTAGTTGAAAAGGTTACATCAGTATGTATTAGCATATGAAGTTTGATGAAAATATTATGAATGGTTTCTTTAAAACTGTGCTAAACACTAATTTAAGAAAAGTGAGGTCAAGGTCAAAGGAAAGGTCAAGGTCAAAAAATATTGATGCAGTTGAATAGCTCTCATCAGTATGTATCAGCATATGAAGTTTGACACTAATTTAAGAAAAGTGAGGTCAAGGTCAAAGGAAAGGTCAAGGTCAAAAAATGTTGATGCAGTTGAAAAGGTTACATCAGTATGTATTAGCATATGAAGTTTGATGAAAATATTATGAATGGTTTCTTTAAAACTGAGCTAAACACTTATTTAAGAAAACTGAGGTCAAGGTCAAAGGAAAGGTCAAGGTCAAAAAATATTGATGCAGCTGAATAGCTCTCATCAGTATGTATCAGCATATGAAGTTTGACACTAATTTAAGAAAAGTGAGGTCAAGGTCAAAGGAAAGGTCAAGGTCAAAAAATGTTGATGCAGTTGAATAGCTCTCATCAGTATGTATCAGCATATGAAGTTTGATAACACTATCTTGAATGGTATATTTAAAACTGAGCTAAAAACTTATTTAAGAAAAGTGAGGTCAAGGTCAAAGGAAAGGTCAAGGTAAAAAATATTGATGCAGTTGAATAGCTCTCATCAGTATGTATCAGCATATGAAGTTTGTTAAAAATATCTTGAATGGTTTCATTAAAACAGAGCTAAACATTAATTTAAGAAAAGTGAGGTCAAGGTCAAAATAAAGGTCAAGGTCAAAAAAATGTTGATGCAATTGAATAGCTTACATCAGTATGTATCAACATATGAAGTTTGATAAAAATATCTTGGATAGTTTCTTTGAAACTTAGCTTTGAACAGAGCTAAACGCAAAGTGTGACGGAAGGACAGACGGAAGGACAGAAGGACGGAAGACGGACATGACAAACACTATATGCCCCGGCCATATTCATGGCGGGGCATAATAAAAATGCTAGCACAGTATACATCTCTCTTAAATGATAAAAATACATATTCATAAAACTAAACTCCCTGTTTCATAGAATGAAGCATGTCCTCTGTTTTATTACAGGCTTCTCAAACTATGTACCTGTTTTTCCTTGTGACTGAAGCTGAGAAGGGGCCTGATAAGGGGAAGTAAGCATGTGATTTGGAGGCAGTAACATTAGGATACTCCGCAATAAGGCACACCTGTTGTTCGGTAAACAAGGACCAGTTATAGCACTGCTCAAATTTCCCATGATAAGCTGGAAGGAAAGGAATCTCTTCTACATCTTTGTCATCACCATGCATCAAGAGAAGCCTGCTTCTGTTAGAGAAAATCTAAGTATCATGTTAAAACTGTTGTGCTACACTGTGTTAAAAATATTTATGCAACATATAAAAATAAAAAAAAACAAAAGATCTGTCTTATCTGAAATTAAATAGAAAGGAAATGTGCCATCTTACTTTACTGATACCAGCTCCATTTCTGTCCCATCACCTTTACTCAGTAATGTTAGAATGAAGTGTTTAAGAACTTCTTTGTTTGAATTCCCAGCCTGAAATTGTGCTTCAACATCAAACTTTCCTTTTACTGTACCTTGTGTGACCATTCTGCCTCTCTTCCTCATCAGTGTAGGCAATGTTACAGTCATTTGTCCCAAAAATTCAAAAGCTCCTCTAAAATGTACAAGTATTATTATTTAGAGCTTTGTAAACCCAAAGTTTATACAACTCATTTCTTATAGTTTGTGTCATAAAACAAACACACAATATGAATCTTAATTAAATACAATTCAAAATGACATACACATATATACTGAAACGCAAAAGAAACGCAACATCCTTTTTTTAGGGGGAAATATTATATATAGGATATAATTTTGTATCTAAAAAGTAAGGACATCTTCAACTTTGTAAATATTGGTAATTTAACGGTTGAATGATTTTCATACTATTACCGGAAGTTAAGTTTGAGTCCGCTTAACAGAAATAAAAAATTCACATGTTTAACAAAATATTTGGCAATAATATGGGGTTTTAAGAATTTGTATCTGTTCATCATAAGTAATGAAGCAATGTTACGAAAAATAAATTCTCCTTTCTTTTCTGTAAACGATGCCAAGGCTTCCTAAAAATGACTTAAGTACGCATTTCCATTGGTCTAGCTGGAAAATCTCAAAATAAAAGCGATGGAGAGTTGCAGACACAAATATGCAACAGATCACGCCTCAACAGGCTCTTACGTATCATTAGCATGAATGACAGTCCTTGGACCAGAAGTCCAAGGGTTACTACACTGCGCTTGGCTAGAGAAAATTCGACCTCATCATCTGAAAAACAGGCATTTAACAAGATGTGTTTGTGAAACACTATGCCCCCCTAATGGCAGCTTATGTCGAAGGTTAAAGTTTCTCAAATGCAAGTCAAAATCCAGGCCAAAAGATAAAAAATGTTGAACCCAAAGAAAGATCTTGTCTCGAGGAAAACACCTGTGGAATTTGAAAGACCTAGATACAACTGTTCAAAAGTTATGGTGAAGGTTAAAGTTTTTTAAATAAAAGTCAAACGTCAAGGTCAAGGTCAAAGTGGTTGGTATCCAAAGGAAGATCTCGTCACAAGGATTACATATGTGAAGTATGAAAGCCCTAGCACCAACCATTCAAAAGTTATGGCCAAGGTTAAAGTTTTTCAAAAGTAGGTCAAACTCCTAGTTCAAGGTCAAAGGGTCAAAGTGGTTGGTATCCAAAGGAAGGTCTTGTCACAAGGATTACATATGTGAAGTATGAAAGCCCTAGCATCAACCATTCAAAAGTTATGGCCAAGGTTAAAGTTTTTGAAAAGTAGGTCAAACTCCTAGGTCAAGGTCAAAAGGTCAAAGTCGTTGGTATTCAAAGGAAGGTCTTGTTACAAGGATTACATATGTGAAGTATGAAAGCCCTAGCTCCAACCATTCAAAAGTTATGGCCAAGGTTAAAGTTTTTCAAAAGTAGATCAATTTCCTAGGTCAAGGTCAAAAGGGTCAAAGTGGTTGATATCCAGAGGAAGGTCTTGTCACAAGGAATACACATGTGAAGTTTGAAACCCTAAGCACCAACTGTTCAAAAGTTATGGCCAAGGTTAAAGTTTTTCAAAAGTAGGTCAAAGTCCAAGGTCAAAAGGTCAAAGTGGTTGGTATCCAAAAGAAGGCCTTGTCACAAAGAATACACAAGTGAAGTTTGAAACCCCAAGCTCCAACTGTTCAGAAGTTATGGCCAAGGTTAAAGTCTCATAAAATTTTGCAAAAGTGGGTCAAACTCCAAGGTCAAGGTCAAAAGGTCAAATATGATGGTACCCAAAGAAAGGTCTTGTCACAAGGAATACACATGTGAAATATGAAAGTCATAGCTCCAACCAATCAAAAGTTATGGGCAAGGTTAAAGTTGACAACAGACAGACAGACAAACAGACAAACAAACAGACAAACAGACAGACAGGACAAAAACAATATACCCCTGGGATCTTTCGATCCGGGGGCATAAAAATGGCAAAGAATATTTCTTTCGCTCAGATCTCGAGATTGATGAACCTACTGCATCGTAGAAATCAAGCTGCAACTGTTGTACATGGCAGTCTTGCACGCTGTAATTGAATGGCCGGGGTGGGCGGTGTTTTAACATTTATGTGTTACTTTCTAAAGTTAAAAGATTATAATTTAACATTTTTATCAAATCTCTGATGTGTATAAATCGAGTTTACCTTACTGTATTCATTTTTGAAAATCATTAGATAAAAAATTCAAATATTTGTAGATTACTGCTTGTTGCGTTTCTTTTGCGTTTCAGTATATGTACATTACATTCATGCATACATACAGACAGACAGACAGACAAACTAGACAGACAGACAGACACAAGACAAATGTCAATCAGAAAAGCTTACTTGAGGCTCTAGATCAGGTGAGCTTGAAATTCTGGTAAACAGAACTTTTTTATTGATGGTCATTTAAAAAGGGCCATAAATATGGCATACAGGATCAAACTGCAATCAAACTCAAAGCTTCTATGTATAAAGAACTAGGTTCACTAACTCTATAAAATGACCCTGTCGAACCTGTGAACCTTGTTCTTTCTTAAATTTAAAAAAAAAATTCTCGAAAAAAATACAGGCATTTACAAAACATAAAGACAGTCCCCACCCCCAATCACCACACTGGTTGAACTGACTTGGGACTAAACAAGAGGTCCAAAGGCCTTGAATTGCTCTTCTGATAAAATGTACAACCTATCACTTCTATTTGAAGCCTCTAAGTATCCTGTATATTTAGTTAAACCCTTGAAATTCCAATTCACACTCCGAGAACCCAAGATGATTCTAAGCCAATTAATACCTGAGAGTTGGTCATGGTGACCTACTTAACACTTGTCATAAATTTTCAAAAGTAGGTCAAGGTGACCTACTTTTCAGTCGACCTACTCCGAAGACCCAAGATGCATCAACTGACAAAGTTTGATGATTCTAAGCCAATCAGTACCTGAAATATTTAATTAAAGCCATAAATTTTCAAAAGTAGGTCACCATGACCTACTTTTCAGTCGACCTACTCTGAAGACTCAAGATGCATCAACTGACAAAGTTTGATGATTCTAAGCCAATTAGTTCCTGAAATATTTAATTAAAGCCATAAATTTTCAAAAAGTAGGTCACCTTGACCTACTTTTTAGTTGACCTACTCTGAAGACCCAAGATGCATCAACTGACAAAGTTTGATGATTCTAAGCCAATTAGTACCTGAAATAATAAATTAAAGCCATAAATTTTCAAAAGTAGGTCACCGTGACCTATTTTTCAGTCGACCTACTCCGAAGACTCAAGATGCATCAACTGACAAAGTTTGATGATTCTAAGCATATCATCACCTGAAATATTTAATAATAGTCATATAAATTGAAAAGTAGGTCACGGTGACCTACTTTTCAGTTGACCTTTTTTGAGGACCCAAGATGCATCAACTACAAAGTTTTATGATCATAGGCCTTAAAATGTCCAAATTATGCCTCTTAAACGCTGTGAAATCGAATGCCAACAAAGTTCAAAAAGTAGGTCACTGTGACCTACTTTTTAATAAATATGTTTTATGGCCCCAAGATGCATCATCTTACAAGATTTACTGAACCTCTCGGTATTCGAATTAATGACCTTAATTGTTTTGGAAAAAAAAAATTGCCATAAAATTCAGAAAGTAGGTCAAGGTGACCTACTTTTTAGTTGACGTACTCTGAAGACCCAAGATACATCAACTGACAAAGTTTGATGATCATAGGCCTTAAATTGTTCAAAATATGCCTCTAAATCATTTTGAAAAAAATGGCTGCAAATTTAAAAAGTAGGTCACCGTGACCTACTTTTTAGTCAACATGATATGAGGTCCTTAGATGCATCAACTGACAAGATTTGATGATCCTAGTCCTTAAAGTAAACAAAATATCAACAATTTAATAAAATGTAATTTTTGGTCAACTTTGAAGTGACCTTGAGACCACGCCCTTTGCCCCAGGGTGATGCCTTGAACAATTTTTAATCCTCATCCTATTGTGTAAGTTTGGTGATAATCTGCCCAGTGGTTCTTGAGAAGAAGATTTTTTAGCAACTAGTACTTTTGTTTCTATTTTCCTAATTATCTCCCCTTGTATAAGGGTCACAACCCTAGTTTTAGTATAAAAGGGAGCCCTTGGGCCAAGGATACCCTGTGACAAATTTGACAATAATTGGCCAAGGGGTTCTTGAGCTATGGCCCATATTCTAAAAAGTTTACGCACACCGCAGAAATGGTCATAGCATTAGCTCTTTGAGCCTTTGGCTCAAAAGAGCTAAAAAAGAAAAGTTAAAGTAACACTGTTCATACTTGTGGAAAATTTTAGATTGAACATCCACTGGTCCAACTCCCAGCAGAAACTTTTTCAGAGTTAATTTTGCCTTAACCTCTGTGGCAGTTGTGTGTGTGAAGAGAACATTCATAGCAAGGGATGCCCCACTGACAGTTGGCAGAACTTTTGTCAAATCCATGATTTTGGATGATCTGGAAGTAATCAAACATGAAAAAGACTTTTTTTTCTCCCAAATACATGTATGGCAGTAAATAGGAAATAATAACTGTATCTTCCACTCTTTGTACCTAGTTTTGATACGATGATAACCCTTGTTAAAATGATACATTAGGGCTTCCAGGAATTCATTTCCTTTTTTCATAAAATTTTCTGCACTCAAATACTCAAGTAGACTATGTACATCAGCATATGCAACTTCATGGCCTAAAAAGGGAATTAAAAGATACAAAATGGCTGGCAATTGGACAGTTTCCTCCAACAAAAAAAATTACCTTTATATAAAATCACAGCAACTCATTTTGTGCAAGAAAGTGACTGTTTTCTCTAAGTGAAACAGATAATGATGGAGATATTACCAAACACTTTCCAAAGTAGAAGTCCTCCAAATTCCTCTTTGTTACTTTGGTAGTTTACATGCTGAAAAAGGTCCCGAATCTCTTTTACTAGGTCTGGGTGAAAGTGTCCAAACATCTCTGATAGGTCTACTGGAGCTGAATTTTCCACTGCTTTCTTGAATCTCATGAAAAGTGATGCTAAATAGTAGAATCCATTTTTCCTGTCTACAGCTCTGTTGAGTAGGTTTTGCAAGCCTAAGATGTAAGAAAATGAGATTTGAAACAAATGTCCACATTAGTAAATATTAAAACAAGAGGCCAAAGAGCCTTGATGGTCAACCGAGTGTAAAACTGTAAAGGATTCACGGATTGAATATAAAATGAAACAATGTAAGCTGATAAATGAAGCTATGTTGCCAAAAAGCAAGAAAAATAGGATGATCAGGGATCAGCAAAATAATTTAGTGTTCAGTAGCAAATCTTAAAGCTGATCTATTTACTTGCCTGTACTTGCCACCATTTGTCACTATCCCCATGTGGACTAAACAAAACAACAGTTCTTGAGCAATATTAATTAACCCATCACATTCCCTCTCATACTGGTCTCTCTTTGTCTTTGAAGAACATTTTATGAACAAAGATAAGATATTTTTTAACCATTTTTATTTATCATTTATTTACTTGTCTACTTGTTCGTTAAAAACTATGAAAATTAGATATTATTAATTTGCATTAGATATTATAAAAAAAATCTTGTATAATTCTGTTATTCACTATTAATCTTGCAATTACATTATTTACAGTGATTTAATATCATAGGTGAACAGCAAAGGGAAATAACTTCTTTCAGTAGAATACAATTTAATAGAGCCCTACCCAGCCTAAGAACACTTGGCAAAGTGATCCAGTTGACCCCCGACTTTGGGGTCACAAATTTCAAAATTTTGGAGGACCAAGTGATGCAAAATTTAAAAAATCTGGTAAAAATACCCTTGCTTATTACAACTTTAAATACTCTCTTTGCCTCCTAGATGCCAAGGAGCAGAGATGATTTTCACAGAAATTATGCATTTTCACTAAAGATTTAACATAGCCCCATCCTAAAACAACAGCCCCTGCCCAGGGGCCACAAATTTCACAATTTTCAAAGAGCCATTCTTGCTCATCATAACCATGCACTTAATTTATCTGCTTAATACTTAGGAGCAGAGAAGAAAATTTTCAAAGAAATAATGCATTTTTACTATATTTTTACCATATATTCAAAAGGCTCTGCTCTAATACCAGAACCCCTGACCCGAGGGCCATGAAATTCAAAATTTTGGAAGAGGCAGCCTTGCTCATCATAACTATGAACTTGGTTTGTTTGTTTGTTATCCAGGAGCAGAGAAGAAGATTTTCAAAGAAATAATGCACTTTCACTATATAATCAATAGAGCCCCACCCTCCCGCAGAACCTTTCACCCTGGGGGTAAAATTTCACAAAGAGCAAGAGCCACTTAGGGCCTTTTTTGGCCCTGTGAATTTCTGAAAAATCGAAACTGCTCAGTTTTGGTTGACAATGCAGAATTTATCGCTTTGACCTTTGGTGACTGTGTATCTATTGAACATGACATAATTTTCTCTCTAGTCAATGCATTATGACGTCATGAAATACATCATTTTTACCATATCCTGTAAATTCCATTAAAAATGGCCAAAAGTTGAAGTATTTTTTCAATATTTCACATAGAGCACAACATCTGATCCAAAATGTGCAATTACATAATGTAAGATCTGTTTCTGAAGATCATAAAACATGTTTTAATTTTTGGATCGAGGGTTGTGCTCATATTTTAATTCTTTGCTGAATATAGTCAAATACCATATTTTCTGCAAAATTCAAGAACATTGCATTTTCACAAAGCCTGTTTTCCAATACCTGGATTCTCAAAAAGAAATTTTGTTATAGGAAATAAGAGCACTAAGTCTCTACTTTATTTTGATATATGAAATGGGACAGAGGGTGAAAGTGTATTAATTGAATTATGGACAGGGCCATTTTATGCATAAAGTGAACCTAGCTCTTTGGAATTGGCAACCTTGATCATTATAACCATGCAATTAGTCTCCTAAATACCCAGGGGAATAGAAGAAGATTTTCAAAGAAATAATGCCTTTTCACTATATATTCAAAAGAATCCTTCGGAAGAACTTCTGACCCTGGGGCCACAATTTCACAGTTTTGGAAGAGGCATCCTTGCCATCCTAACCACACACATAGTCTATCTGATGATTAGCCAGTAGCAAAGAAGATTTTTAAAGAAATAATGCATTTTCACTATACAATCAATAGAGCCCTGCCCCAACACCATAACCCCTGACCCAGGAACTATAAAATTTACAATTCTGGAAGAGGTACCCTTGCTTATCATAATTATGCACTTGGTTTGTTTGCTTAATACCCCAAAGCAAAGAAGATTTTCAAAGAATTGATGCATTTTCACTATAAAATCAATATATAGAACCCCTTCCACAGAACAAATGGCCCTGGGATCACAAATTTCACAATTTTGGAAGAGGCATTCTTGATCATCATAATTGTGCACTTGTTTATCTGCAAAATACCAAAGAGCAGAGAAAAAGATTTTTAAGGAATTCAAGCATTTGCACTTAATGATAAATAGAGCCATGCCATAAAACCAGAAGCTCCATCTGAGGTTCATGAAATTCACAATTTTGGGAGAGGCATCCTTTGCTCATCATAACTATGCACTTGGTTTGTTTAGTTAATTCCCAGGAGCAGAGAAGAAGATTTTCAAAGAAATAATGCACTTTCACTACATAACCAATAGACCCCCCCTCCTGTAGAACCCCTGACCCTGGGGCCACAAATTTCACAATTTTGGAAGAGGCACCTTTGATCATCATAACCATGCACCTAATCTATCTGCTTTATATACAGGGGGAAAGAAGATTTAAAAAAAAATATTAAAAATGCATTTTCACAATTTGATCATTAGAGCCCCACCCTTACTTAAGAACCCCCGACCCTGGGGCCATAAATTTCACAATTTTGGTAAGGCTTAATGCTTATTACAATCATGCTTTTTACAATCATGTCCAGGAGTAAAGAAAATTTTTCAAGATAGCAATAATTTTTATGGTTTTAGCACCAACCCTAAGGCCCCAGGAAAGCAGGGACAATAAAATTCACAATTTTTGTATCCCTCACCCATTAAAGCTATTTGCCAAAATTAATTGAAATTGGTTCAGTGGTTCAAGAGAAGAGTTGAAAATGCTCAAAAGTTTATGACCGACGCACAATGGTGTATAAAAATAGATTGCAATAGGTCACCTAAGTGACTCAGATGACCTAATAAATCCAACATCTGAATTTCAAATCATATTGCAATTTGAACAAAACATGTAGAAGGGCAAGATAAAACTTGCTAAATGTAAAATCATTTTTTTAAGATTGTAGACTCATGTATGCATACACTGGGATGAAATCTGGCACCAATTTTGTTGAATTACCCTGCAGATCTGATTCCAGTTCCAGAATGTTATGCTTCTTTCCATGGTAGTAGTTTATTCTGATGTTCCATGTCTGATAGGCAGTATTGACAGTATCATGTACAACATCTATCTCCAGCTGCAGACCTTGAAAGGTGACAGTAAAAGGCAACCTGTAAATTAACGACAGTCAATATTAAGAGGGCTCAGTGGTCATGGCCATTTTCAGACCATTAAAAACCTCCTGAAAAGAAGAGCTCCGTATAAAAATATAGGAAAATTGTATTAAATATTAAAGCTGGAACACATTTTTTTTCTTTACCAAATAATCATTTATGGCTAAAAAATCATATTTAATATTTTTTAGGCAGATCAGTTGGGTAATTTATTGACACCCATCTTCCTTAATGTAAACAGGAAACTTAACACAAAATAGCTAACTGGTACTTGAGTGTGTTCCCATTTACCTTGTATTAGTCTTATGGGAAAAAATTACACTCAGATTGTAAAAAAATTATAGCATTTTATTAAGATTATTAAAAATTACAGCATATCATTAAAAAAATGCTCCCAAACAAACAGAGACCCCAAAACAAGTAAATAATATGATGGACTATGAATGCACAAAGTTTTAATTACCTTCATCTAGAATTAGTAAAAAATGGTTTTGACTTGCGGCATCTAGACATGTCAATTTTACAAGATTTTTTAGTTGACAAAACATATGGACATACTCATGTTACATAGTTTTCTGTTTATATTCTATATATATATATATATTATGTAAGACTATACTCTATATATGTTAAACTTACAAGATTTTCTACTTATATGCAGTATCTGGACATGTCAATGTAGCAACAATTTCTACTTTTCTTAAATTATCTGGACATGTCAATGTAGCAACAATTTCTACTTACTTAAAGTATCTGGACATGTCAATGTAGCAATTTCTACTTACTTAAAGTATCTGGACATGTCAATGTAGCAATCTTTTCTACTTACTTAAAGTATCTGGACATGTCAATGTAATGAGATTTCCCCTTTAAGAAAGATGAGTGAGACAGCAGACTTCTTCCATCCTTCTCTATCACTTTTATCCAGCGATCCCTATACCTGAAAGATAAGAGAATTACTTACTTTGTATTTTAACAAGAGGCCCAAGGGCCTTAACGGTTACCTGAGTATAATACAACACTGTCAAGGATCCACAGAAGTATAAAATAAAACAAAATAAACTGAAAGATGAAGATATGTTACCAAAAGAAAGAGAAATAGGATGATCTTGGATTAACAAAATAGTTAATCTAGTACTCAGTAAAAAATCATAAAGTAGTTCTATTTACTTGCCTGTACTTGCCAGTGCTAAAACACTCCCATTTCTCACTATCACAGTATAGACTAAACAAAACAATAGTGCTTAAGCATATAAACTCATCTCACACCCTTTCAGATTGGCCTGTCTGGGTCATTGAAGAATAAACAAGAGGCCCATAGGCCACATCACTCACCTGAACACATTGGCTAGGAAAAAGCAGAAATCAGTTCAGTATTGAAAAGTTTACAGGGGAAGGGGGGAACAAACTTGAATTCACACTACCTCAGGATGCTTCTATATCAATATTACTAATCATGGCTTTGCTGTTCTTGAGCAGATGAATTTTAAAGATTTTTTCCTAAGTATTCCTAGGTAAAACTCTGAACACTCATTGTGGTCCCACGGTACCCACCGTAAATTTGAACAAATTTGAATCTATACTACCTGAGGATGCTTCTATAATAATATGACTAATCATGGCTTTGCTGTTCTTGAGCAGAAGCTTTTTTCAAGATGATTCTTACAGATTCTTATGTAAAACTTTGACTCCACCTAAGATTGCTTCTGTATAAATATGACTAATAATGGCTTAGTTGTTCTTGAGAAGAAGATTTTTAAAGATATTTCCTATATATTCCTATTTAAAACTTTGACCCACTGTTGTGTCCCCACCCCTACCCCTGGGGATCATGATTTGAACAAATTTGAATCTACACTAGCTGAGGATACTTCTTATTAATATGACTAATAATGGTTTAACTGTTTTTGAGAAGAAAATTTTTAAAGATATTCCTATATTTCCTATATATTCCTATGTAAAACTTTGGCCCCCTGTTGTGTCTGTGCCCAACCCCAAGGGTTCATGGTTAACCTGAATCATGAACTTCATGAAATTGAATCCACACTACCTGAGGACACTTCTATAATAATATGACTAATCATGACTGTGCTATTCTCAAAAAGAAGATTTTTTAAAGACATTTTCTATATATTCCAATGTAAAACTTGGACCCCCTCTTGTGGCCATACCCTATACCTGGGGAAAAGATATGAACAAATTTGAATCTAGAGTATGTAATGAAGCTTTCACATAAGTTTCAACTTTTCTTGCCCAGTGGTTCTTGAGATTGAAGAAGATTTTTAAAAGATGCCACCAAATTTTTATGAATTCTTATTTATCTCCCCTTGAAGCAGGGCCTGGCACTTCCTGTGAACAAATTTAAATCCCCTTTACCTAAGGATGCTTTGTGGCAAGTTTGGTTGATATTAGCCCAGTGGTTCTTGAGAAGAAGTCGAAAATGTCAAGATTTTAAGACGACACACGACAGATGACACTCTTTGATCAGAAAAGCTCACTTTAGCCTTCACCTCAGGTGAGCTAAAAACTTTCAAGTTTTGTATTAAACATTGAATTTTTTTGTAATTCTTTTATTCAATTGACCTATGAATTACATCAATTATCATAAGTGAATATCAAAGGGGAATAAACTCTCTCAGAAGAGTACAAATTTCTCTAAAAGTGCAATAGAGTCCTGCCAAGCAAAAGAACACTTGACCTAGTGATCAAGAATTGTACATCTCTGGTAAATATACCCTTGCTTATTACAACATTGTACTGTTTGCCTCCTAGATTTTTAAAGAATTAATGTATTTTCCTAAAGAATCAAATTAATTAATAAAGAGTCTCACCCTAACACCAGAACCCCTGACCCCAGGAACCATGAATGTCACAGTCTGGAAGAGCACACTTCCTCATCATAACCATGTACTTAGTTTACCAGCTAAATAACCCAGGAAATAAGATTTTCAAAGAACTGATGCATTTTAACAATATAATCAATACCCACCCAACATTGGAGACCCTGACCCAGGGGCTTTGATACTCACAATTGTGGAAAAGGCACCCTTCCTCATCATAGTGATGCACTTAGTATGTCTGCTTAATACCCAAGGGCAGAGAAGATTTTCAAAGAAATAATGCATTCTCACTATATAATCAATAAAGCCCTGCTCTAAAACCAGAGACTCTGACCAAGGGGCCATGAAATTCACAAATCAATTTCAATAAAGGACTCATTGAATGTTTTATCATGCCAACAGTTTGACTGCTTGATGTCCATGAGTAAAGAAAAAGATTTTTTAAGCTTGCATTAATTTTGATGGTTTTAGCCCCAACCCTCAGGAGTTGACTATAACATTCATAATTTTTGTCCCCCTTTGTTCATAGAGGCTCTGTACCAAAATTTGTTGAAATTGGTTTAGCAGTTTATGAAAAGAAGCTAAAAATGTTCAAAAGTTTACAACCAATGGACAAAAACACAGTAGCAAATGTCACCTAAGTGACTCAGGTGACCTAAAAAATGCTTAAAGGGTTCACAGACAATAACATGCAATGTATCTATCATATAGTGTATGTTATAAATGTTTCATCAATCAAATTATCTACTGTAAACATGGATATTTACAAGTGTTGTTAATTAGGCAAATTACAAGCAAAAGCCATAAATGTGGGGAATGTTTCCAGGATACAGTGATGTACATTAAAGTGGTAAAATTTTCCGTATGAATGAAATGTTTTGAGCTTCCTTTGAATGTTGGTTGTTATATAATAACATGCCCATTTCCTCAAAAAGTAAACAGTTTATTGTAGGAGTGAATGGGCAAGGACTCACCAGTCTGCACTGAGAGAAAGCTCTCAGTTTTTGTAAATTTTCTCATTTGCTTCATTCAAATACCTGTAGAACAGGTATTCTATAATACAATAGCCAATCAGATTAGCATTCTACATAAACACGGGTAAAAAATGTGTTCAATTGATACACGTGTTCTGATACTGTAGAAGTACTCATTGTGGGATTTACATACACTATGTACGTGGTCACAATTTTTCTGAAATTTGTCACAGTGTACTTAAAATACATTAAGAACATAAAATGACAATCCAAGATATCCGCGTAATTTCCTACCCGCAAATTGAACAGAAATTGTAATTCTGCAGAATTATGTCCACGTGGAAATAAAGTACATTTACAGTAATTCAATATTAGACATGTCAAATACATACATGAAATTATGTACATATTTGTAGCAATAAGCAAGTTTTACAGAAACAGAGAGTCTCTCACTCTCTCCCAAGTTTATAAAATCCCCATTTCAGCAAAACTTGCTAGTCTCAGAGAGTTGGGTGTCTTAAAACAATGCAACAAATATTGTTTTATCAATTCTAAAGAAATTGGCATGTCATTATGTAACAATTGATGATTGATAAGGAAGACCAAAACGTTCCATACAAACGAAAAATTTTACCACTACAATGCACAACATTGTACCAGGATAATTTAATATTAATTTAATTTAACACTGAAAAAAAATTTACATGAAGGTATGGGAATGTGGGGGTAAATTATAGCAAAATCCTTCTTATCACATATATAGCATAAATTTCCACTTTTATGGTATATGTATCAATCTGAGTGTGTCAACAATGATTACCCCTTCTTATCTGGCTGGTCATTTTCTAACATTCCCTTTATGTAAGACATCATGTACAACTTGATGTTGTACAAGGGTTCAGTGTGTACAGTGTCTAGTAGTTTGGTTATCAGATCCTCGTCTGTAGTGTCTGCCAGACTCTTGAAAGCCTGTGTCCTGATGGACGCCTTTCTGTTGACATCATACAGAACGGTCTGTAGTGTGGACTCAATGTCATCTGTCATATCTAGGGCAGCTATGACCTGTAAAAACAGATAAATTGTGCTGTATTATGATTTATCTACATTTTTTGTAATACATCATACATGCAATATCTTTTGAAAATTCCCATGGGGGATTTTGCACGTGACGACAATTTTCAAAGCTTTAAACTTTTTGTCGTGAAAATAATTGTTTATTCCATTTTTTTTTATTTATAATATCAATACCACTTATTAATACAATTTAAGAATAAATAATACAAACATTTTTTTCCCTTCCAAATTTCAAATATCTTTTGCTTAAATAGGTACCTCTCTCCCTAAAGAAGTGATATCTGTTTAGTTTAACAACATTATGTTTGAAAAAGACACATAATTTGATAAAAAATGTGAAAATGTACAACTTTCAGTTCAATAAATTTTTTTGCAAAGTGTTAGAAATACATGTACATGTATATGAGGTTTTGTTACTGTACAGTTTCTGGGAAACATTTGTAAAATTCTATATTTACATTTTACACAATTAGAATTTCCTAATTAGACATTAAATTGAAAGAAATATTGAAAAATTGCAATGCATTATGTGTTTGAGGGTGTGTGTGTGAGAGAGAGAGATAAGAAAATTTGTTTGTGGTATGTCCTTTAAATAGAAGTGTCATTTTATTCCCTATTAATAAGTAGACGTCGACATCACGGTGATTAATTTTATCACACACACAAAACAATTTGAAGAAATAAATTTACTCTGGAGATCATCAATTATCTAAAACAAGGATACCCCCTATCCCAAACAAAAATTTAAATTGGTATAATCATGATGAACTTTTGCATAATCTTGGCAGTGCCGTGTGGGTATTCCCTTTTCGTATTACATTTGGGGGGGAGAGAAATTCAGTGTACTTGAGGTATAAGACTTTGCTGTTTCATCTAAATTATTTTTATCTTATTTTGACCGGTAAACTTTACAATATTTTTATTACAATTTAAGAAGATAAAATCAGCAGCTATGCTTTGTTGTTTTCTACTTTTGTTTTTAAAAAACGATTGACATGGATTAATTCCGATTTTGTTGTTAGTTTATCATATCACTGTATTTAATTTTTGTTTTTAATATTAATCCCCTAACTGCTCCAGGCTGTACCTGGACAGCTGTGTGCGTTCAAGCGAGAAGTGATTTCCTGTGGCTAATTAACACCTCTGCATGAGTTAAATAAACAAAGAGACTAATCTGTGTGCATTGAATAAACAAGTCTGATATCCTAATCCCGACTGACAAAATGGTGTCTTACCACTTAGCCAACATTTTGAGAAAAATACAGGTAAACACAGGTAAATCTGTGTTGGCTAAGTGGGAATGGGGTGCAGGTAGAGAACAAAAGAATTCAATTACCAGTAGCTATAGTCTGTTTTAAGATATAAGCTGAATAAAATCTTTTGTAGCATAGATATATTATTAATTAAATATTTTTGTGATACATTGAGTTTCTGTTACAAAATCATCTTTTTTATAATTAATAAATATTCACTAATTATGTAGTAACAATTAATAGCTCTATCCTTAAAAAATAAATTATATATCAAATTTAATCAAGCTTAAAATATAAGTTTACTTTTCAAAGTTTTAATTGAAAAACACATAATATGCTGCACATTGTTAATCATGCAAGTAAAAAACTCAATTTGAAAATGCAAGAATAGATACAGTAACTGTCTATATCTCTGAATTATAAACGGAATAAAATCAAACATTCAAACTGTTCATGAAATACTTTTTAAAAAATGTATAAAAGTTTATTCTTTAGAAAATTCACAGTTATTTGCAGTTATACCTAATTTATTATAATACAAAATGATAAAAGTTTCATAAAATTGTTTAATCATGAAACAATGATTAAGTAATAGGACCATATAGAATCCTACATAATGTAGATTATTTAACATTTTTTCAAATGTACACAATTTTTATACCTTTTCAATATATTTTTATTTTCAGTATTTTTTTTAAATGATGATTTATATTTGTTTTTACTATATTTGGATAAATTAATCTAACAATTTTTCTGGAAATTTGTTTCATTATTTGTTAATTTATTTACTAATTCTTTTTAATATATACATGTTATTTATTTATTTATTAATTAACTAATTATTTTTTTTTCTTTTATTATTCCTATTTTATGAAGGAAATAATTCTCAGGTAAAGCACAATAAATACTCGCACATGAAAACAGACTATAGCCTGTTGGTCACTCATGTGTAAAAATCAAATTGTTGGCTATGTGGGAATAGGATTTTTCAAAATGTTGGCTAAGTGGGAATAAACTGACAAAATATTGCGGTAGGGAAACTCTGAAAATCGGAAATTTTTGGTTGAATTTTTTCAAATCGGGATTTTAGGGCAATTTTGCTTTCCCGATCAGGAGAGCGGGATCAAAGAGTAAAATTGGGAGGATCCCGCCTAAATCGAGAAAGTTGGCATGTATGAATACATTCATTATTAGAAAACAATGTACAGCATAACAAATGAATGGTAAGTTGATTTTGAGGTGCAATGAGCAAGCTCATTAAATGACCCCCCTTCCGCTGCAATGTCTTTAAAATTATTGTTGGTAAGATTTTTTTGAAATATTATACGTGTAACAGATATTCATTTGTGTGGCATTTTATTTTTCTGCAGTGACATTTAACTTGTTCAATGACCTTTGGTCAAGATCATGACACACCCCTAGTTTATGGGAAATCTCTGTGAAGTACAAGATCCAAAGTCACTTTGTATAAAGTGATAGAGTGGACACAAATTCGACAGGTCATGACATACCCGCAGGTCATAAGCAGTCCTTGATTGATGAATGTGCATCCAAGGTTTCTCTGTTACAAAATTATGGATCCAAGTTTCAACAAACAAAAAGATCTATGTTCACTTTATGCATAAAATGACCCTGTAGATATCCAAATTTATCTACAAACACCCTATGTCTCATTTCAAATGTCAATATAAAGTAGAGACTAAGTGCTGTCATTTCCTATAACAAAGTTTCCTCTGACTGTCCAGGTAATGGAAAACAGCTAGGCTTTGTCAAATTGCAATGTTCTTGAATTTTGCAGGAAACAGGTGCATTTTAGTACCTTCAGCAAATAATTAAAATGATAGAAAGCATGACATCATAATGCACTGACTACTGACTAGCGAGAAAATGGTGTCATTTTAATAGATATGCAGTCACCAAGGGTCCAAGTAATATTTAATGCATTAATTGTCAACTAAAACTTATCAGTTCTGATTATTCAGAAATTCACAGGGAAAAAAAACGTAAGTGAACTTTGATCTTTTATACTTCTTGTGCAAGTCATCTTGAACATACTAGTGTAAATATTTTTTTCTGCCAGTGACCTTGAACTTGTAAATGACTGGTCAAGATCATGACACACCCTTACGACAAACATAATCATTGTGTGAAGTATAAATTTGTTTTTCCATTACAAAGTTATAGACTAGAAATAAATTATACACTTTTTGTTAGTGACCTTAAACTTGCCTAAATATTCTTAAATCAAGTCATGACACATCCTCAGGTCATAAGTAATTTTTGTGTCAGGTATGTGATTTCAACAAAGTTTACTCTGGACATGATTTCACTGACAGATGGACAAAGGAATTTGTACATATATATAAAGCTTCAGCTATCTTTGTTAAAGTGAACTTTGCAATGGTAAAAGATGCTGAGATCATATATCATGGCAAAAAGATCATATAATTTATCATGGGAAAATGGGACATCCACAACATTTTCCCCAAGATAAGTTTATGTGATTGTAGAAGTTTATTTCAGTGAATACAGAATCATTCTGATACTCCTACCTGGACAGCAGTTTTAGACAGGTGATATGGAATATTACGGTTCTCCACACAAATTAGGATGGATTTCACCAATGTGTTGACAGTGGAATTTACTGATGAAAACTTCTGAATACTTTTACCAAAGTTACCAAACACCTGCAATCAAATTAATAAATAAATGGTATTATGCAAAAAGAGAGCATGAAACGTTAATTTGAGAAGATGGGAATGGTGCACTGAGGTCTATAACTCTATAGACACAACTTTATGTAGACACTGTACCTTAAACATAAGTATAAGGTTATCATGTTTATTTATCTTCTCATCCACACTGAGGCCCTCCCATGTCTCAGATTTACAGTTGTCACCTATCTCATGTACAAGATGTGTCAAAATCTGTGATACTGGATGATCCTGACAAAGAAAAAGAAAGTTTCATAGATATCGAACAAATAAGAACATCATCATAGGGGTTCCTTTTATCATCATTGTAGAAAAATATTATTTTACAACTTATTTCCTATGTAGCTTGTAACACAAGATCTGATTGGTTAGCAAACCGGATGTAAATTTCTGTACACCCGGCTCAAGACGGGGGTAAATAACATGGAGTCACAATACATAGTTTCTCTATCACAAAAAGCAATTAACATGACATCAAGATGCATTGTAGTATGTTGTAAATCTTATTGATAGTTTGAAATACCACTGATTAGCCTCTGGTTTACGAAGGATTTGATTAAATAGGAAATAAATTCTTTATCCAGGTCCAATCAAGGATGTACGGGGACTTACCATGGCCTTCGGCCTCATGGTGTATAGAATAAAACCCGGGAAAATCCCCATACATCTTTGATTGAACCTTGATAACTAATAATATCTATTTATAAGTTCTACCTTTTGAAACTCTTTGTTGTCCGTTTCTCCCAGGAATCTATGCACCATTATACCTAAAGGTAACCAACAACCCATTTGGTTCTTACTTTTACACATATCCTGTAATAAAAAGAAAGTAGTCATATTTACCATGGTTAAAGTCACTCAACATGTAAAAACAAGGATACCATAATAAAAAACATGAACAGATACAAAATTACCTAAGCATATAATCCTTAGATCCTAACATTCAAAATCCTTATATGATACACACTGTTGAATCATCGCTGTTCGTGGGGGGAGGGGGGGGAGGGACTAATGTCCATGGATTTTTTGGGTCACCCTTACCAATGCCCATAAATTTACATCCCCAGGAAAGATATCTTATTCAATTTAACATACTGGTTCATTAAGTATTCATTTTTTTACAAGTTGCTGATCAAAAAATAAAGTCACCACAAACTATAATATTTTGATTGCCCATAACTGTTGATCCCCACGAACTAAAATGATTCCAGTAGTACATGGCTGACCATACTGTGTACACTTTACCTACATGTATATTGAACTATATACTCTTTACCTATATTGAACTATTTAGAAAGAAAATGAAAGCACTACCATTCTTTAGAATGCATTTCTTTCTCTGTAATTGTAAATCAAATAAATCTATCTTAGCCATTCAAAGTTTTTTCTATATTAAGCATTCACATGCACTTGGTTTTTTTATACCCCAGATTCGGAAAAAATGCACAAAATCCGTGGTCAAGAAATAAATTAAACTGGTTAAAAGTTTAAAATTTTGTCAATTTCTTGCTTTTTTTCTAGAATCTGTCCAGTTAGGTATATATTTAGTAGGGATGGCAACGAATATTCGAACATTCGAATATTCATTCGATGAGTTGATATTCGAATATGAATTTAAGATTCGAATATTCGTTGTTTTTCAGATTTCATAAAAAGAAGTACTCTGATTAATAAATTTTGATTAGAACAGTGCTGGATTTATCCCTGTTTAATTTACTAGCGATCAATTTCGATCTCCTGATTTCTTTCACTACTTTCTTATCTTATAAATCTACTAAATTACATGTATTTTGTTTTGAGTAAGGTGTTAAAGAATTGTACAATAATGCTTTATGTATAATACAAAACGTACTTTCATAGTTTTTATTTGTTAGATACAATCGGATCTAGAATCGAGGACATCAAATGAAATCTAAGAATGTCTAAAAGGCGTCAGGAGTATACTTATCAAAATAAAATTTATTTAATTGATCATTGAATGAATGTCCGATAGAATTAATCTGTAATCAATATTGTAAAGGGCTTTATATCAGAATAAATGTGTAAATTACTTGATTATCTCGGGTTGTACATAATCAATTTTAAATTCATTATTGGGAAATTAGTTAATTACCTAGGAAAATTGTCTATGGAAATATTTGTTTACATTGTATCAAAAATTATAATCATATATCTTATCAGGCAGATAATTGTAATTTATTACACGTATTGAAATCTGAACAGTATACTGTTACGACTATCTTGCCTTTTGTAAGACGACTGGTTCCTCAGTTGGAGCTACTATAAATACATTTTCATTTGTTAAAATTATACTTTTCTACATATAAATCAATTATTAATTTCAAGCATTGACAAATATCAAATGGAATTTCTTATTGTACACCTACAAAAGTCTTCATACAATTTTACTTCCAATATAAGTATACCTACGCTAAACCTTTCATGAGAGTAGGATGATGCATATTTAAAATAAAACAGATTATATTTATTTTATCGAATATTCGAATATATTCGAATACTTTCATTGAATATTCGAATATGAATTATTGACAAAATTGACATCCCTAATATTTAGCATTCTACCCAATTTTGTAAAGAAATATTGGATTATCTTTCTACATGAAAAATATGGTAGAATTATTAAATTAAATCCTTTGAAGCATCATTTTTATGACTTTACAAAGTGTGTTTTCTTTTTCGGCTTTTTTTTTGTTGTCAATAGATATATATAGGTACATGCATGTAGGTTCTTGAATGATAGGTGGATGTTAAACAGAGAGAGAGAAAAAGATAGGAATGGTCTTATTAACCATGTTAATATACTCACAAACAAAACTGAGAGTACTTCTGATGATGTCTCATGGTTAAGGGCCAGGTCATATGTAATTAAGGAGCTGACAAGAGGGTCAGAAACATGGCCACTCTGTAGACAGTAACTTAACATTCTCAGACAGATATAGGAACCACAGGACAATAGAGCATCCAGAAAGTAGTCCTTTTCCGCAAACTACAGTAACAAATACACAAAATATAAAGAATTTGCTCATATCTGCTTTATGAATACATGACACTAATCATCTTTGACATTTTTGGTATAATTTACGATATCAATCTTTTTTTTTTTACAATTAGACTAGCATTATTAAATCAAGTCAGAGAAGTCAGAGTCAACCCCACAGAAAATAAAATGTAATTATCAGATGTTAATACTTGTTTAGCAATTCAGAATTGATACATGTCATTAAATGTTTGAGACATACATGTACCAGTATTTAGCAATGAGTACCTAAATTATTTCTTACGATCAAACTGATCACATCTTGACCTCTTGAATACATTTAATATGTACATGTAGTACAGCCAAGAGCTGAGAAGTAGACAAGATTTAATATCCTACACTATGTGTGTGATGAACAAAAGCAATTAGATGTAATTAATGGATTAGTCTTTCAATATATACCTGGTAAACAGAATCACAGTTGACAGTATTGTTGCCATGACAATTCCAGATATCTATCATTATGTTTGATAAAGTTTGATTGTCGGTCCTCTTCATTGCCATCACAAGCTTGTGGTAGAACTGAGGAAGGTCTTCTATTTTATTTTTTCTCACACTTTCTACCAACTTATGAAGCAAGCTGTTGATTGTTTCCATGGTAACTTCTGATGTCATTTCCTCTTCAAACTCAAACAAAATATCTACATACTTTTTACCTCTGATTCTTCTGTTGACAGAGCGTGTGCTTAGTTTCTCGACTTTGATCAGTTCCAAAGACTGACTATAAAGAAATACAAGTTTTCATAGCAAATATATGTAGGCAGAAAAGTGATTTTAAACCAGAGATACTGTGAGAAAGCTCACAAAATTATACCCCCCCCAGCCGCAATTGTTTCAAAATTGCTGATATACATTTCTCTAATTAAATGACCTTAAATTTGCCAGAATGACCTTGGTTCAAGAAAATGAAACATCCTATGGTCATAATTTATCTCTGTGTAAAGTATAAATTTCCAATATTCCTCAATTAAAAAGTTTACACTTTTCTCTGAAAGTGACCTTGAACTTGTCAGAATGACCTTGGGTCAAGGTATGACATACCTAAAGGTCATAGGTAATCTTTTTGTGCAGAAGACACTTCAAATGATTTTGAATTAGAAACTTAATGGGCCAGACGTTTTTATTGTCAGTGACCTTGAACATGCCAAAATGACATTGAATCAAAATCAGGATACACCCTTGGGTTATAAGCAAACTTTGTGTCAAGCATAAGTGTTCAATGTTTCCCCATTACAAGATGTAGTCAGGGCACAAATAAAACATTTTTTTTAAGTGACCTTGGACTTGTTCAACTGAAATTGGGTCAACATTATGACACACCTTTGTATGAAGTTGAACATCCAATGTTTCTCTGATAGCAAATTATAGACTGAAACGAATTTTACATCTTTTCTGTCATTGACCTTGAACTTGTCAGAATAACCTTTGTGAAGGTCACAAACCCTCAGGGGATAACAATTTTTTGTGTCAAGAATGAACTTCTTTTGTTTCTCCAAATTAAGTTATGGCTTGGTCATGAATTAGACATTTTCCGGATAGGGACCTTGAATTTGCAGGAATGACCTTTGATCAAGGTTAGGACACAACCTAGGGTCATAAAAATCTTTGTGTCAAGTATGAGTTTCCAATGTTTTTCCATTATATATGTGGTCAGGACACAAAATTTACATTTTTCTAAAATTTTACACACCCTTGGGCAACAGACAATCTTTGTATGATAAATGAACATCCAATGTCTCTCCATTAGAGAGTTATAAACTGGACATAAATTTTACACATTTTCTGCCAGTGACCTTGAACTTGTTGAAATGACTTTGGTCAAGCACTAGACACACCCTCAGGTCATAAGCAATCTTTGTGTCAAGAATGAACCTCTAATGTTTCTCCATTACAAATTTATGGCTTGTTTACGATTGCATGGATGGACCAACAGAAAGACAGTCAGGCAAAGTGATTTCTATATGATACCCCAAACTTTGTTTGCTTGGGGAATGAAAATCAGTAATTTTTATACTGTAATGAACGACTCTAATAAATACTATATTTTGTACATTATACAAAAACATAATACAAATACATGCTAAAACAAATATTTTGCACATGGTACATACATACTGCTAATTTCGTAATTCCAAGCAGGTAAATACTGACATATACATACCTGTAAACCACTTTACATACACAGTGTAATTAGACTAAGTCTTACACTTTATAATTACATGTAATTAAATAGTTTTAAATACCTAGCATTAGTCATGTATGATGCATAAACTGATCCATTGTATGCACTGGGTTGAAATATCTGCTGCTGGAGGCAGTTCACTTCTTCCAGGCGATGCTTATCATTAACTCTGTGATCACATTTCACATTGGATAAAAATGGATAATAAAACTGCAAGATAAACAACAGATAAAGTTCAAATATGTAACAGACATCAGGCCCCACTTTTTTCTGAGTATAGTATTTTGCTATAGTAAATTTTTCTTTAGATGCTGCTTAGCCCCCCCCCCCTACTTTTTAATGTGTAAGGTCGAGTACTGGTAAATTTAATGATTTGGACAGTAAATTAGCTTTTTTTTATTTGCTTGTCAGATAATATTGGGAAGTTGCCCTCCCCTCCCCCCACTTTTGGTCAGTTTAAGGTTTTTTTTCTTTTTTCTTTTTTTTTTTTTTTTGCTTGTTAGATTTTTTTCTAAGTTGCCCCTCCCCCCCCCCCCCCCCCCCTTTTGAAAATGTTGCTATTGGCCTGGACATTGTCTTGTTTCTAAATTTAGAAACTAGATTTTCCCCTATAGCAAACACAAATTATAAATCTGTCAGCTTAGAAAAAAATCTACAGACCTTACCATGTCTGTTGGTTTACTAGCAATGGTATGGAAATATGGGGGCAAAACCATGAAATTTTGAAACCTCACTGTGGAACCATCCTAGACCCAGTGCCATGTTTTGAAAAAAATTTTTAAAAATTTCACATGCAGATGCTTGCATTTTAAAATGACTAACCTGCTGTTTTTGCGTGAAAATATTGAAAGAATTTTTCTTATTTCATCTGTTTTCATTTACACATTGTAAATGAATACCGTATAAGTAGAAATTTTAGGGAGACCCAAATTTAGCAATTTATCTTTAAATAATGGTAATTAATTTTTAGTGAGAATCAATTTTAGCCATTTGAAAGGGCCTACTAAAGAAGCTATTACAAATAAAATGCAATTAATTTTTAGCAATAATCAAATTTAGTGAAATCAACGCCCTCGCTTATGATGCCAAAATTGAATCCTCGATAAAAATTCTGCTTATACAGTAGTATATAGTCTTCTCATTCTCGAATACACGTATTTCCAACCCAGTGATCAATATGCATGTGCAACCTCAAATGATACACACTATACAATAAATAATTTCTTCCCTCTTTCTCTGAAACTAATAATTAAACTCAAAAATAAGACATACATACAATGATACAGTAAAACAGGCTTGCACTGTATATTGAAGTGCCAGGAGTAGATAATTTTTGTTATGTCCGTTAAGTTCACAATACATTTTAAAGCCATGAGGAGTGAGAATCACTTTGCTGTAAGCGTCAATTCATTATAAGCATGTTTGCAATAAGTGTGTTTTACTGTATCTGTTACAAAATTTTAAGTTTTGCAAGCTAAGAAATTACCTCTGATACAGTTCCAATCTTATAACCTCCATACACTTTTTGTATCATGGAAAATATATTTCTTGGTTTCTTGTAGATTTGAGGCATCTGACAGAAGCGTAAATTCCGCTCCGTGTAAAACAAGTCAGGATCAGCATTTGAAATACTGTAATGTGTGGGACAATCTCCAAAGATATCAGACTGTAAGACAAATGTCACATGTTTTATTAGAAAACTTACAACTAGGTCACTACAGTTTTTTTCAGCTCTAGCCCAGTTGGGCAAGCAATGACAAAATTTCACTAGCCCGAATCACTTTTTACCAGCCGAATAAGCCCCCATAATATTGAGAAAAATAAAATAAGAGTTATTATTCATTTCTTTAGATTTAATGAACAAGGCTCATTATTTAATTTCAAAAATTAATTTCCCTCTGTTCTGTCATTTTATTATCAGTTATTTGATTCTTTGTTTTACACATTGATGCAGTCTGATGCACTATAAACATTTCATCACAATATGTTTGAAAATAAGCAAGTTATTGCCCACTCTTTTCAACTCACAGGTGTGTGTTTTAATTCAAATTAGTTTTTTTTTTAAGTCAGTGAAGCCTCCATCTCAACATTCTCTTTCATTAGCCATTTCAACGTGGTGACTGGAGACAAAAAAATATAAATAACCAAGCATGCACAGAAAGATAAGAAAATCATTGAGAAAGTCAAAAATTTCAATCAAGAAAATTAATCTTATCACAAAAGAAATGTTTTTGACAATTATTCAAAATACTGAGATGGAAATGGATAAACACAGCTGAAAATTCTACTAGTCTGACTGGGCTAGTGCTGACCTACATTCTACCAGCCTGACCAAATCAGTCATGGGGCTAGTGCTTTTGGTGCACATTGTCACTACTAAATGCAGGATGGGACATTTTTATAACTTACATATGAAAATAAAACTAAAAATTTTACTTAAGATTTTGGCTATCAATAAATACATGAAATGTATTTGGGTCATGTAACCTGTTGGTGCGGCTCTTTACTGTACAGATCTACAGGCATTATACATCACCTGTTGGTGGGGCTCTTTACCGTACAGATCTACAGGCATTATACATCACCTGTTGGTGGGGTTCTTTATTGTTCAGATCTACAGGCATTTTACATCACCTGTTAGTGGGGCTCTTTACTGTACAGATCTACAGGCATTATACATCACCTGTTGGTGGCGTTCTTTACTGTACAGATCTACAGGCATTATACATCACCTGTTGTAGGGCTCTTTACTGTACAGATCTACAGGCATTATACATCACCTGTTGGTGGGGTTCTTTACTGTACAGATCTACAGGCATTATACATCACCTGTTGGTAGGGCTCTTTACTGTACAGATCTACAGGCATTATACATCACCTGTTGGTGGGGCTCTTTACTGTACAGATCTACAGGCATTATCTTGAGCTGGAATGCAGATAGCATGGCTCGCTTGATGTTAAGGATGGCTAACTCTTCCACCTCAGAGGTCACAATGCCCTGTCTTAGCACCTCTCCTAAGTTGTATTGAAAATAAAGAGAATTCCTAAAAATAAAAGTAGAACAAGTTTTCAGCATTAAACAGGCTTAAATTCATTTAATTATCAAAATGTCAATTGGTTACTTACTGAGATATTTGTTTACTAAAAAATTAAACATTCAATGACATAATTATCAGACTGTCAGTGGAAACTTAAACATTCAGTGATAATTATCAGACTGTCAGTGTATCACTTACTGACACATTTGTTTACTGAAAACGTAAACATTCAGTGACATAATTATCAGACTGTCAGTGGATCACTTACTTACATATTTTTTTACTAAAAATTTAAACATTCAGTGACATAATTATCAGACTGTCAGTTGATTACTCACTGAGACTTATTGAAAACTTAAACATTCAGTGACATAATTATCAGACTGTCAGTGGATCACTTACTTAGTAATTATTTAACTGAAAAACTTAAAGTAGAACCTATGTTGGAAAAGTCTTTGTCACAGGATTTTCAAACTTTTCAAAATGAGTAATTAGCACTTGCTTATTAATCAGTTAAAAATACATGGCATGTTTCCTTGTTATTAAATGTAGTGCAGTCGGTGTAATTTAGAATGATTATCATACACTGCGACTAAATTTTTCAGCCATTTTTAGGGTTACATGGTCATAAGGAGAATATAGAAAATCACAAAAATACTTCTTCAAACACCTTTGTTTATAGACTTTATTAACTGAAAAATAGTTAGAAATATTATTAAAAATTAAATTCGTTTTTCTTCAATTGACATAAAAGATTTAATCTACATTTCAATAAATATACTCAAATGCGCTCAATATTTTTCAAAGGATTTTTAGTCCAGCTACAACCATAAATTTTTAAATATTTACCAAAAGTCTTTGTGACGGTGTTTTCAATCCTTAGTATGATGAAGAACATACTCAAATGATTATGAAAAATTATTATAATATATACCTTTCCCCACAAACTAATGAGAGAGATTTTTTTTTAAATCAATACTAGTCATGTTGACCTTTTAGCACTTACACAGGATTTCATGATTAAATGAATGTTTTGGTGTTACTTTCAGATTTACAATATGAATATTTATCAAAACATAGGTAATCAGAAATTACAGAGCTCACCTCAACGAATGTTGTCTTTAAGTAAGGCAAAGTCCCACACTAAACTAATAATCTAGGAGTGTGCATCCCTAGATGCAACATTCATGCAATTTTGGTCTGATAGGGCTTGCAGTTACTTGGGAATAGACTTATCTGAAAACTTAAAACTAGTCACTCATCCAGAAAGTGCAAGTCAAATCCAGCATCCAAAGCAAGTTTTGAGATTGTTCGTCCCTGTATGCATCATCCATGCAAGTTTGGTTCAGATAGGCCTTATAGTTACTTGGAAATGAGATCTGCTCCAAAAACTTTAACCTGGTTACTCATCCGGAAAATGTAGGTCAGATCCAGCATCCGAAGCAAGTCCAGTAGTGTGAATCCTTAGATGTATCATCCATGCAAGTTTGGTCAATATAGGGTTTATAGTTACATGTACTTGGAAATGACATCTGCTCCAAAAACTTTAACCTGGTCACTCAAACGGAAAATGTAAGTCAAATCCAGCATCATAAGCAAGTCTAGTAGTGAGCATCCTTAGATGTATCATCCATGCAAGTTTAGTCAATATAGGGCTTATAGTTACTTGGAAATGACATCTACTTCAAAAACTTTAACCTGGTCACTCATCCCAAAAATTTAGGTCAGATCCAGCATCCAAAGCAAGTCCAGTAGGTGCATCCTTAGATGTATCATCCATGCAAGTTTAGTCAATATAGGGCTTATAGTTACTTGGAAATGACATCTGCTCCAAAAACTTTAACCTGGTTACTCATCTGGAAAATATAGGTCACATCCAGCATCCGAAGCACATCCAGTAGTGTACATCCTTAGATGTATCATCCATGCAAGTTTGGACAATATAGGGTTTATAGATACTTGGAAATGACATCTGCTCCAAAAACCTTAACCTGGTCACTCATCCCAAAAATTTAGGTCAGATCCAGCATCCGAAGCAAGTCCAGTAGTATGCATCCTTAGATGTATCATCCATGCAACTTTGGTCAATATCGGGCTTATAGTTACTTGGAAATGAGATCTACTCCAAAAACTTTAACCTAGTCACTCATCTGGAAAATGTAGGTCAGATACAGCATCTGAAGCAAGTTCAATAGTGTGCATCCTTAGAGTACTCATCCATGCAAGTTTGGTCAATATAGGGCTTATAGTTACTTGGAAATGAGACCTGCTCCAAAAACTTTAACCTGCTCCAAAAACTTTAACCTGCTCCAAAAAACATTAACCTGGTCATTCTTTAGCTGAAATTGCAGCATCTGAAACCTTGACAGGTACAATAAAACACACTAGAAGCATCCTCCATGCCTCTCTGACTAATATAGGCCATAGAAATACTTGAAAAGAAAACTGCTCCAAAAACCTTAACCTGGGACGCCAATGGTATTACATAAGCTCCCCCAACTTTGTTGAGGTGAGCTAAAAATGAAAATTTCTATTTAAAAAATTAATTTTTTAACGAAATGTTTTTATTATACGCAAACCACTAAAGATCCAAATGAATAATTAAGAAATAATTATGAAAATGAATACAATTCATTTCATAATAGACATTACAAGCATTAAACACAATCTTTAATAGATTTAAGACTCAGACGACATATCATCAAGATATTGTACTATTTAATAGTCAACTGAAGATTTCTTAGCAACTTCGCATTCCTTTAAAATAGTTGTATGTCATTAACTTATCACAATTGTGTATTTTTATCAGCTGAGACAATCTTGCATTCGTCCACTTAACTATGAAGTCATACGACGTAGGTTCTACGTTAAACATTCAGCGAAGTAATTATCAGACTGTTCAGTGGATCACTTACTGAGACATTTTTTCACTGAAGACTTCTGAGTTCTCTGTCTCCTTGTACTTTGGATCTGCACCTGGCTCCCTGTCATACAGCTTACAATGATCAACCTAAAGAAAATAATATAACTCAAGATTCTCATCACAGACTATGATAAGTATCATAATGTTTTTTTTTAGTTTCAAGGTCTTCTGATCATTTCCAGTACCACTTATACTCTGTCCTGTAGATTACTTTTATTAATATATACAGTTGTATTAAACTATAATGAGCAAATTCAAAAATTTTGTGGTCCCCTGCTTTTGGTGTCTTAATGGTTGGGATGCAATTATTTATGGTATATTGTAACTGTCTTGTCTGTTTCTCCTAGCTGTCTTGTCTGTCCATCATACAAAAAAGATTTCAATTTTAGACTAATAAAAGTTACAGCCAAGATTAATGTTTCTTAAATCTGCATAAAACTTCAAGATCATGAGGTCAAATATCATAATACAATCCTAAAGGTCTTCTTACAAGTACATGTAATGCATATGTGAAAAAAATATGAAAGCCCTGTCCCTTTCTGAGCAAAAGTTATGACCAAAGTTAAAATTTCTCATACGTAGGTCAATCTTCTAAGTCAAGGTCATGAGGTCAAAAATGATAGTTCTTTCAGAAAGGTGTTGTCACAGGTAGTGTACATGTATAATATGAAAGCCTATCTTCTTTCATTCAAAAGTTATTACAATTAACTGTTAAAAATACTGTGAGATAAAATTATAGGTTAAGGTCACAAGGTAAAAAACCATAGTATTTTCAGACAGGTCTTGTCCATGTAATGCACATGTCAAATATGAATGCCCTATCTGCTCTCATTCAAAAGTTTTCTCCAATGTTAAAATTTTTAAAATTAGGTCAAAACTTCAAGGTCATGAGGTCAAAAAGCATAGAACATTTGGATATATCTTACCACATGTAATGTACAATTAAAATATGAAAGCCCTATCTTCTCTCACTTAAAAGTTATGACCAAGGTTGATCAAAGCTTTTGTGACAGACTGACTGACAGATGGACAGACATACGAGATTTAAAAGTCCACGCACTTTTGCAAAAGCAGTGGACAAAAATTACCTTTAATATTCCCTCACATTTTCTGGGAACATCAACATGAAAGTCACAAAAGTACTTGAACCCTGCTTTTGACTCTGAGGCTCCAATGAATGCAGAGTCTGAAGATGCTGTGAAAGAATATGTGTACGTCCATCCATGATGGAACCATGTGTCTATAAACGCAACAAATCAACTGGTTAAACATGTTGTACAATATATTCATAGTTCAGAATATTTTAACAGTAACAATTGTAACACTCACACAAGTAATTTTGGTTTTGCTTAAATTTAGGAAAAGCTATTTTAAATATTCCTATGTCACTTATCATTGCTGCACACTTGTCCAAATGGCAATGAATTCACCAAAACTAAATTTTGTTAAGTTTAAAATTATATAACTATGAAAACAGTGCCATGTCCAATTTATACCCAGGCCTTCTATTGTGGCCCCACTCTAATCTCACTAACCATGAATTCAACAAATTAGAGTATTAACTACATGTACATGAAGATGTTTTGTTCATTAGTATATGACTCATTGTAGCCCCCACCAACCCCCGCCACGTTCATGAGGGAGATTTTCAAAAATATTTCCAATGGAATTTTGACACATTTTGACTCCACCTTATCCCTAGGAGTCATAATTAGATCAGAATTGAATTATTTACTTCAAGGCTTGTTTGTATATTAATATGACTAATCCAGACTGTTCTTGGAAAGAAAAATTTTCAATTTTTTCCCTCATGTCAAACTTAAACTCCTTTGTGACCCCATCGTAGCCCCCCAGGGGTTATAATTAGAACAGAACTAACATTGTGAATTATGAATAACTGTAACCCTGCTATTCTTGGAAAGATTTAACACTTCTCCCTATATAAATAGCTATACAAGACTTTGAGCCTCTTTTGTGATTCTACCATAGCTTTGGGGGATCATGATTTGAACAAACTTTACTGTAGATTTACTGTAGATTTACTGTAGATTAATTACCAAATTTTTGTGACACCTTATTTTTCATGAGATAGTTATTTGGTTTTTATAAGCAAACAAAGTCTAGTCATACTTATATATACATATACATGTATAATCTTTTTAAATATAAAAATGTGAGAATGAAATTTTTTGCTAGTAGAAAGTCTCATGTAATTACATGAAAAAAGGTTTTGCAAATAAGAAGTGATTTACAGTATTCTTCATTACAAGAGAAAGCATGCATATCAATATGATGAAATGTAGCTCTGCTGTTCTTGAGAAGGGATTTTTTTGCTTTATAAAATCAAACTGCAATATCTCGAACTTGATGGGACCAAGATAAATCTTTGAGATATCCATTTGTGTTAAGTTAAATTGAAATTGGTCCACTGGTTCTAG